GCGCCGCTCATTGGCCCAGCCCCGCGAGGCCCCCCACGCCGTCGCTGCGGTAACGCCGCGCGCGGGGGCGGGGCCGCCTGAGGGGCGGAGCGGGAGCCGGGAGCGGGCGCCGGGAGCCGGGAGCCGGGAGCGGGGAGCCGGGAGCCGGGAGCGGGGAGCCGGGAGAGCCGGGAGCCGGGAGCCGGGAAGCCGGGAGCCGGGAGCGGGAGCCGCGGAGCGGGGAGCGGGGCCGGCAACGGGAGCGGGAGCCGCGAGCCGGCAGCCGCGAGCTGCCGCGGGTCGCGGGCCTTGCCCGGGGAAAGCCTGTGGGGATAAACGCGTTTCCTGACCTGCGGCCAGGTTGCCCGGGGGGCCGGGGCGGGGGGACAGCCTGCTCCGTACTGAACAAATCGGGCTCGCTCTGGGGAGCGGGACGGTTCCCTTTCGCTCCTCTGAAGCCGCAAGTTGTTTCCAGTGTCTGTTTTACTCACAGAACACGGTCCTAAGTTTTGTGAGGCTCCTGAATTGCCTTTTAATTCCCCAGGCCTGAATTCTGTCGAGTGTGGATAACAATTTATCTCTTAAGGTAGACGGCAGTGAGAGGAGTCCGACCTGCACCTCTTCGATGCGAACAAACCCACCACACAGTAGCGCTGCCCGGGCAAACACTTGCATAAGCCTCTGTCATAGCGAATGTGCTCCTTATAACACGGTGCCTGATTTTTCTCCAGTTCTTTATATTCCCTTTTAGCTCTTGATAAGCACTAATTTGTGATCCCAGATAGCAGCCTTCAGTTTATCATAAACGCTACTTTTGATCATTTTGTTACCACAGCTAATTATTTTCTCCTAGCTTTACTTTTTGCCGGTGCTATTTAGATAGTCTCAGAATAATGTCAACTTATTAAAGCGTTGAGAATTGCTCTGAAAGAATTACTTACTGCCTTCCCCCCACCAGACCCAAAGCAAAGGCTGAGGTGAGACCACCAACTATTAGTTGTGTTACTCTTGTATAAACTTGTATAAGCACTTCTATCCCATTGTATTCCTGTCTCACTTGACTTGGACACCTCTTCTCTAGATTTCACAGTTTCCTCAGCATTAGTCCTAAAACTAATAGACCTCTGTTTCTTATCTGCTTTACACTTAAATATACTGAAGTTGGGCTGTTTCAAAAATGATTACGTAGCCAAGTATAAATCTGGGAGAAGGAAGGGAAAGAGCTTCTTGAAATATTCTTCTCTTCCTAATTAAAAAATTAAGATGTATCTTCTCAGTGTTCCACTTAGAAAATATTTATACTTAGGAAAATAGCTGTCAGCTGTTGTATATAGTGTCTGCTGGTGAATTTAGTAGATTACTCATTAATTCTTGTAGCTGGTCTAGCGCCAATGGAAACACTGATGTGGAAATTAATGCTATTGTTCAATTAACTAAGCATAATGTACTAGAAAGTTAGGCCCAGCACATAGGCCTCCATTAACAGATTTCAAAGAATGTTTGCTTTGATGGCTTTTCCTTCTCTTGCAAACATTTACTTAACAACATCTGATAACAGTTATGTAATATTTGCTCTAATATGTAGGTGCAAGGGAACTGTAAACATTTTATCCTCCCTCCAATGGATCATCAGCATGATTCTTGTTTCTACGTTATTACCAAGAACATATAAAGTCTCTAGTTTTTTATGTCTTGGAAAATAAAATAAATTGAGAAATTATCAATAAATTAAAAACTCTTTATATGAGCAGATGGCATTTTAAAGGTTTTTTGCTTTGTACTAGGAACTAATTTGATCATGTGAAGGCCAAACTTTGGTTCTGCAATATCAAAACAGGACAAAAAAGGTAATTGCATACACTTTCTGACCATTTTGTATAGATCACTAGTTTTCCTTGCAGTTCCACATGCTAAACTACAGCAGATAGCTTTATTTCGTATATTATCTCAAGTGACTTTGAAGTACTAAGTGCATTACAGAAGCATTTTGCAGGTCTTTGCATAGAAAATGACCAGGGCAAAGTTTATGAAGGAAATATTTCTCTGTTAGTTTAAACAAGTTATTAAATATAGTATTTCAAGACATGTTTTGCCATCTTTTCTGGTTATTAGAGCTTGGAAAGTCTTTAGTGTCTCAGACTTTCATTGGTTGTGAAGTACTACAGGCAGGACAAGAGATGACTGGCATGTCAGTTGTTGATGCCTCTTGGATGGAGCAGGATCATGAGTGCTTCCAGGTACAATGAAAACTGTCTCTTTCACAGAAACCTGCTTACCTATTCCAAAAACTCCCTGCTTTCTGTCTTGCAGATTGTGGATTTGTTGCTGTTTTTTAAACATTCTTTGTAAACATGACTCCTCTAGTATCTCTAAGGTGAGAATGCAGGAGCTTCTGAAACTCTCAGAAAGAATATAGGAGAAAACGAAAGCTTTTTATTGTTTGCTGTTAGCTGTTAGTCTTCATTAGGTCTAAGGTGTTTATCTTCTACCTAAGCAGAAAGATAATCAGCAGCATAAGAATCAGCAGGAAAATCTTGAAAACTATTATCAGGAGGCCTTCAATATGTAGACTAAAAGAGGTTACTTTACTGAAACAAGGCCAAGATATAACTTCAAACATTATATTGACAAAGTTTTTTGGGGAACCAAAGTGTGCCTGAGTGGTTCTGTCTAAAGAAGAGTTCAGCCTGAGCAGATGCATCGTATCCCAGTGGATAGATAACATGGGTGGGTGAGTTTGTATTTGTAAATAAAACAAACATGCAAAAAGTTATTGCAGTGGTCCCGCACATCCTGTGTCAGAGAGGCAACTTTTCTGATACTATTGAGTAACAGTGGTGCCATGAAAGAGGTACCATAAAGGGTTGGTTATTACTTGGTAGACACTATTTAAAGGACTTGATGGAAACTGACTGACTTACTGCAAAATATTTTTTCTTATAGAACAATAGTTATTTCAACTTAGTTAAAACCAGCAACTATGATGAGGTTAAGTACTAAAAGAAAGATTGTTGTTATTCATCTACCAACTGACTTGACATTTACACTCACATTTACAGTTAATTATTGTTTCTAAACTAGATTGAAAAAGAGAGGAAAAACTTAGATTCTCCACAGTTTTCCATGCTAACCTCAGACATGTATAAAAGAGTGATTTTTATTGTTGTTATTGTAAGTCTTACTTATCTTTAAAGGCAAGATACTTTTGCAGTAAAAAAATGTAGCCAAAGGACATTTTCTTCAGTAATAAGGTATAAAGAGTTATTTGCGAGAGATGTTTCTGAACAAGTACAATCTTGGAAAAGAACTGGGAGAGGGAAAATTAATTCCATCTGTTCTTTTATATGACAGTTGCTTTGCTGTACACTGTGAAAAGCAATAATCTATAAGGGTTAGCAAGAAACAAACCTCAAATATTTTCAGCTAAAAAGCTAGGAAATATTTATTGTTGAAATATCCTTAAATTTTGCTTTTGGAACAGTTTTCCTTGAAATTAGATGATACCAGTTGAAGTGAGTAATTCAGTCAATGCAGAGAAAAATACTGTAGTAATTCAGAAACAGTGCATAGAATTTTAAATCTGTTTTTAACTTTAAGGTTTTCTATTAAGCTCAATGCAACTGGTAGCAATAAACGTATAGGATTTAAAACTGCTAAAAAGTTTCTAAAACCAGACTATTAATAGGTAAAGTAAATGGGAGTAAAGTAAATGTGAGATTGTGTCAGGAGGAGAGGTCTTCTAAGTCCATTTAATTGTCATGCCTTATTTGTTGAACCTACTTGATGTTTCCATGTGACTTCCCCGAGGACACATCATAAAGCCCTGGTAAGCCATTAAGTCCTTCTTCAGCACAACCAGTTAAGTAGTTCATATCTTTGTCTCCACAACTTCTGCAGTTTAACTTGAAGTGCCATTGAGAGAGCAGTAGGGGAAGTGTGCAGTGCATATATAGAGCTGCTTTTGTCTTCAGATTCTAATTGTTTCAAATACATAATCTTTGATAGAAGATATGAATATGCTGGAATATTAGAGCCTGATAAAGAGCTTGAAATTTTCCTCTTGCTGCTCTGATAATATCAGAAGATGGTATCATCAGGCTTTTAATATCCATTTAATATCTAGTGGAAAAAGTGTTTTCATCTAGCCACCTCACAAATTAACATAATCTTTTCCCGTTCTACACTTATTAGTACTAATATTGATAAATCTGATGTGCTAATATATTATCTGTTGTAATCTTTTAAAATCCTGCTATGTGGCAGAATCTGTTTCCTCTTGGCTGTTTGCCCGGGATGTTGCCCTGTGCTTCACTTGGGAATGCTTCAGGAAAATACTCATAATCATCTGTTCCCAACCTTGCTCTGGTTTGCAAAGCAGGTCTCATTTCTGCAGGGCTGGGCAGTCAGAAGTGGGGCTGCAGCTCCTTCTGGAAAAGCTGTGTAGGGCTTGCATCGTGTAAGCAATGCACAAGAATGGTGGTACCAAATGATGACTCGAAGACTAAGCTTCATCTGCATTGTGCCCTGGATTAACAGGCCTCTAGTGTGAAGGAAACAGTTGTTTTTCAGTGTTTTAAGAATATTGCTGCTTTAAAAATAAATCTATATAGCTCAACAGCCCCACTGATGTATGGATGCTGGTTGTATTTTCTGTGACTGAAAAATGTGTTGTCAAAGTATTAGTAGCAGCATGGTAGCCAAGTTCTATTTCAAAGTGAAATGTACAGCTTTAATGACAGTTCTGCAAAGATCAGTTATTTGTGTATTCTTTCTATCCTTTATACAGGCAACACTTAATGAAGTACACACATTACTAATGTCCATCCTGCAGAGAAATGAACTGTGAAAAAATTTAAGCAAACATGTTCCAACTGTTCATATGAAGGATTACATAAGTTATACACTGTGTTTCCACAAAACTTTCCCCACAATTTGCTGCTGCTCAGCATGTACTTCACTTAGCTTCCTTTAATTAAAATTTGCAAACAGAAAAGCTTTCCAGGGCTAAGAGACTCATGTGCTTTCCCGGAGTTTTGGAGCCACGTGTTTCAAGAATGGCTGGGTACACCACACCAATATAATATAAAGGCAACGTCAATCACCTTCTCTCACTTTTTAATAGCTCCCCTCCACGGTTCTCATTCTCTGTTACTAGAAACTTAAGATTAAAGGAACTTTACTATATTTCAAGTACAGTTTAATCCATTAAGATGGATCTCCTCCATAGCAATGGCGTGCTTATCATTCAGCATTTACAGAGGGACTACAGGGCTTACCAGGATTTCCTTAATTTTATGTCACATGTTGGTGATCCGCGGAATATATTCTCAATTTATTTTCCTCTTTGGTTTCAGCTCAACCAAGTGGTTGGTACTAAAATGATATGGGTGGCAGTCATTGGTGATTGGTTCAACCTCATATTTAAATGGTAAGAAGTTGGATTTATTTTAAAATTTTTAATGATAGTTACTATATGTGCCTCGAGGTTAGAAAACTTTCTGTGAATAACGTAGTAGTAGACTTTCCCGTTATTATAAAAGGGGAATTCACAATGCAGGTATTTAAGATATGTTTGAAATGACATCATGGTAAGATGAGAAAAACCTGTAGAACTATTATAGAATAGTTTTGGCAATATAGCTCTTCATATTCATGTTTTGCTGAGGCCTTCTTACATAAAAATATTTTCATTGAGTTTCTGCTTTATTTTATTTTATTTTTTGTCAGGATTTTATTTGGCCATCGCCCATACTGGTGGGTGCAAGAAACAATGATTTATCCTAATCAATCCAGCCCATGCCTTGAACAGTTTCCTATAACGTGTGAAACTGGACCAGGTAAGAAATGTTGGAGATTACATTGGTACATTTAATAGGTATAGTGGCTTTGAGGGAGAGAGGATGTGACTTATGAAGGTCTTATATAATATACAAACCTCAGAGTTCATATATAAAATAGCACCAAAAAAGGAAGAAATACAATGTGACTGGTGTTTGATTGCTGTATGACAAAATGTTTACTTCATTGCCTTTAAATAGTGCAAGGGAGGGGGATTTACTTTAAAAATAACTACTAGTAGTTATTGGAAAGGAATTTTCACAAAACTTGTGAAATACATTGTTTAATATGTTCCAAAATAGAGCACAGGGCTGTTGAGTTTGAGAGCTAGTGCACTATTGCAAGAAATATTCAAACCCCAAAAACTAGTAGGTGGTTCAGTGTAAATAACAATAGTATCAATAATTGTTGATGTAATGTATCATGAGTGGAAAAGGTAGCCCCTCTTCCCAGAACCAGACACTGACACTAAACATGTATATATACAAATATATGGGGGAAAATTATTTTTAAAATGTACTTTCTCTGTGTATTTTCACTTTTTTATGTCTCATTGTCTTTTCTGTGGAACTCAAATGCAATACTCCTGAAGTCAAATGAACTTGTGCAACCCTAATATGTGAAATAAGATGAATTTGCTTTGAGCTGACTGACTGAATTTAGTTTAATTCATTGTGCGAGAAAATACTGACTGTGGAAATTAATGTGCTTTGCACCTCATCAATGCCTCTGCAAGCTTTAAAGCAGTTTGCATAGCTGAATTTGTTAACAATATCCTCCATTACGTTCCATTGTAATTGTGAACAAGAAGTTTAAGCCTTTGTATGAGGCAAGGTTAAATAATGCCTGGTGTATATGTGATCTGCAGTCTCCTTCAAGTGAATTCATTTGAGACCTAACCCAAAGGATTAAAGTACTTCAGATCTTTTCAAAAGCCTTTTAACTGAGCCCATTTGGTACCATGTAGTTCCAAGCCCTGGCTAAGGAGCCAGTCAGTGTGTTTCATTCTATTAATTGAACCAGATCTTCCTTCTTGTTACTTTCTTCCTGAAGTAACAAGTCATTCCTATTTCTGTTCAGTGGATACAACTGTCATATTGATTCTTTCTTTGCACTTACCTTACGACCACATTTTCCCCACCTCCACATTTGCCCTGAACCATTGACAATATCTGTCACTGACCTGCTCCTCATTAACAAGAGGAGGTGCAGTCAGTGCAGCTGTTAAGAGCACACAGTCGTTGCATGAGCTTACATGGTACTTCACACACTTTTAAAATATGCAAGTTATATTAAAAGAGTAGAGGAGCAACCACAGACATGAGAAAAGCAGATCCAAATATTGCTAGGATACCCTGAACCCCAGACTCTCACAGCTCAGCAAGAGGGAAAGCTGTGGGAACTGTTTATATGACTACATGGCAAGCAGGACTTGAATTTGGTTTGTACTTCTGGAACCAGCTGAAATAAAACCCTATTGCCATTTTTTTTTCTGATATATTTAAGGCTTTGAGAACATAAACCTTAAAGTGGAGCTTATGCTGTTTCTAGTAGGTAATTTGCAGATGAACTATGAAACATTATTCCTAGATGACATTTTCCTAAATGACAAGACAGAGGAGCTTTCCCAATGCTGACAGACAACATTATGATTTCCTTATCAGTGACATTTGTTCCGTTGTGAGGTTTAGGAGTGCACATCTGTTAGGCAATTAACAAAAGAGCTGGTAGAGTGACTCTAAAGATGCTGGCAAGCAGAATAGCAAAAAGGAGTGCAGGGAGTCAGAAATCATAGTGCTTGTCCTAGGCATTCCTGTTTTGCTACTTCACTGAAATATCCTATTGCTCTACACACTGCTATATAGTTCTGGATCATAACACTTTCTGGACCCAAAATTATTTCTTCTGACAGTGAAATAACCCTGTCCCTTTTACTTCACTTTGTCTCCACAGAAAGCCAAGCTGTAGAAATACAGGATTGACAGATTTCAGTGATCTAATTTTCTCTCTTTCCCTATTTTATTTTGTTGAATGTAAACTTGGTGAACAGGGGAAAAGAAGTGGCCAAGTAATTTTAGGAATCATTTCCCTTGCATCATGCCAGCATAGTTTGTTTTTTGGTGATTTTCACAGTTGTAGGAACTTTTCTGAGGCTTCATATTGTTTCCAGTAAAATTAAAATCTGACTTGTTAAATTTAAACAAATTACATTTATATTATTATAACCTGGACTAAAAGGAAATTACTGTTTGATCTCTACATAAGAGTGTGTTCCCTGTTACAGACTGTTGGTATAGCAATTGGTTGGATATGTTACAGTATCATTTCATGTGCCAATTTCACTGATACTCTATTTTCAAGCTAGTTGATATGTATGACACCTTAAAATTTATAACATAAATCAAACTAAAGTATAAAGACACAGTTCTTCCATCATGCTTGAGATACATTTCTAAATTTATTACAGAACTACCCAAAATTTTAATTATCTGGATTGTGATATTATTAATGAGACACAGATCTCAATTTTTCACATCATGATAATTGCAGAAGCAGATAAAAGGCAGTTTGGAAGGGTCATCTAAAGTTACACTGTTACTTTAGTTTAGAATGTTACAAAGAGCTAAAGCTCTCTTGCTCCCTTTAGTTATGAGGAGGCCCATTCAAACCCTTTCTCATCTGATCCTCATATATAACTTCTACATTCCATGCTACAGTCCTAAGAGAGTCCTAGATGCCTTTTTTTTTTTAAATCACAATCCAAATCTAAATAATGGGAAAATACTGTGTTTTCCAATCAAGATTCCACCCCACACTAATATAAGATAGTTAAGCTGTTACCTACTTGATTTCAGACAAATATGGCTTCCCTATAGATGAGAAGTTCATATTGAGAAAATTAAATTTTGTGAAGCAGTTGACATTCTTTCAGCCTTTGTTAGCCATTTCCTTTTTAAATGATTGGGTGCCTGAGTAACTGCCAGTTGACATTTTCTATATGACAAATGCTACAGTCATCATTCTTAAGGGGAATATTTCCTTTTTGTTTTTACTAGGAAGCCCATCTGGACATGCCATGGGATCATCCTGCGTCTGGTATGTAATGGTCACTGCAGCACTTAGCTACACAGTTAGATGGAAAGATAAATTAGCTGTTACCCTTCACAGGTCAGTGTCTTTCCATTCCTCTAACTCATAAAGATAATTCTTTATATACATGTTATGTTTTTAATGGACTTAATTTAAACAAATATTCATAGTCTGTTCTATCCAGTTTGTAAAAAAAATAGCAGCCCTTTATTATGATCTGCCTCAGCTAAAGAAAAAGTATATGAAGAGGATTTAGCCATTTGTATAGGTTCTTATTTATTAAATTACCATAATTGCATACAATATCTCTAAATCAGCTCCTACTAAAGGTTGTGTCACCTGTTCAGTATTGGAAATTTTTGATTCTATTAATTGTCATTATTTATTGGATCTTTGGGTTAGAAAATAAATTTACTGCTTTGATGGTCATCCTTCTTAGCCCATTTTAAAGCAAATGCACATAATGTTGACATAGTTCACTGTAATGTGTTACTCAGCTCTGCGGAAAAGTCTCATAATTGCTGTCAACCCGACAAGGTTGTTCCCACACTATGTAAATTTTATCATGAAATAACTGAACTTTTACATTTAGGTATGACTTCATGATGAGAAATAAGCTCAGGGTACTAGTGCTAATTTAACCTACTATGCATGACTTTCATCACTAAAGCCACAGTGGTGTCTTGGACCTGAAACTGCTGGGGTCTCTTCCTGTAACCACTCTTGATAATGTTTTAGTACTGACTTCCAGGTTTTAATCATCTGATTCTAAACTGCTCTACTTGGTAAATCTCTGGCTGGTAAAAATATGAGCCTGACATGATGGGGCTTGGGATAAATTAGTAGGTGAAATAGTTTGTCTTCATTTTTAACCATTTTCCCTTTCTCTCTTAGACTGACATGGTCATTCCTCTGGAGTATTTTTTGGATTATCCAGATCAGTGTGTGCATTTCAAGAGTATTCATAGCAACACATTTTCCTCATCAAGTTATTCTTGGAGTATTTGCTGGTAATGGTTTTTTTTTCTTTTTAACATATTTGTAAAATCTCAAAAAAAAGAAGTATGAGAAAAGACAAGAGATTTTTCGTAGTGCTACTCATCTTGCAGCCCCAGTGGTGCTCTCCACTCTCTGGAAGGTCAAGGATTTGATAAAAGTCTAAAGGTAAAATTTGCAAGGTTAGAATGTGCCTGCTGCCTTTGTAATTCACAGAGTGAAGGGAGTGAGCCTTTGTCCACTTGCCAGTGGATGCTGACTGTGTTATATCCACATGCCTCAGACTAGCTCTGACTGGTTTGTACTGGCTGCATCCAATCTTTGACTGTGCTGCCTGCGTGGAAGAGATCAGAGAGGAAGTTGTTCCTACATGGCTCTGACCTTTCATCTCAGGAGGAAGGTATTTGGGTCACTTCAAATGGTGACCAGGTGCAAACTAGCATGTGTGCAATGTGGACAAGTATGGGGTCAGAGACCTGGGGCAAAATAGAGAAAAAGGTGAATCAGCAGTAAAACTCCCCAGGGTGATTTAAGAAGCTGAAGTACATTTTTCAGAGTTACTTAAGCGTGTTGCAAATTGGTATTCAGGGAGTTCAAACTATGAATAATCTCTCTAGAATCTATCTGATTTTATGGAGGGTGACCAAAGCATTGAGCAGGGGCTGCCTGCTCCTGTTCTCTTTCATGGATGCAGTGCAGCCTGGGTAGCCCTGGCTAACAGCTTTCCCTCTTCACAACCAGGATAAAATGAGTACGAGAGAAGATAAGTGTGTTCTGTGTCTTTTCCTTCAACACTCAAAGCCTGTGTGGGAACTGGTGTTGAATTCTGCATTGCTGGAGCCAGTCTTTGAGTGAGGGACTCTTTTGGAAAAGGAATGTTCCAGTTTACATCTAATATTTGATAGGTTGTCATCTGGGAGATGCAGTCAGGCCTTAAGGTATGCCTCATATCAAAACCATGTAGTGCTTGGTATTTAACTTCTTTTTTCTAAATTGGCAGTTTTGAGTGGGAGAAAAGGTTTTGTAATGTACTACAGAAGTGGTAAATTGTGTGTGTGTATGTGTATATATACACATAGATATGAAAGACATATTCTTCTGTCTTCAAAAGTCAAATTCTACAGGCACACTGTAGAAAGTGCTTCTTCAAAGTACAAGTGTGTTGTTCCCTGTAACACTGAGTTTCTAATCCGCAGGCATTCTTGTGGCAGAAGCATTTGAGCATACCCCTGCTATTCAGACTGCGAGCTTGAGAATGTACATCAAGACAAACTTGTTTCTTTTCATCTTTGCCCTTGGGTTTTATCTATCCCTCAAACTTCTTGATATTGACTTGTTATGGTCTGTTCCGAAGGCCAAGAAGTGGTGTGCCAACCCAGACTGGATAAACATTGACACAACTCCATTTGCTGGACTGGTGAGGAATTTAGGGGCACTCTTTGGTTTAGGTCTTGGAATTAATTCTGAAATGTTCGTCACAAGCTGCAAAGGTAAAAATAGCTGCAAGCTAAGTTTTCGCATATTGTGTATAGCTGCTTCTTTAGCTACACTGCAGCTGTATAATTTCATTAAGATACCTACTCATACTGAGTATTTGTTCTACATTCTCTCCTTCTGTAAGAGTGCAGCTATGCCTCTGACTGTAGTTGCCTTGGTTCCATACTGTGTCCACTCATTAATGAAGACAACTGAAAAGAAACTTAATTAAGTAAAGGTTCAAAATGATTAGCAATGTGGGGATGGATATGAGCTGTTCAAGAACCTTCCACAAAGGCAGTTTTGCTAACTCATTTTAACCAAAGGGATGCTACTGCATCTTTGATGTGCTCCTGGTAAGTAACCAGTACATCCAAAATCAGTACGCTCTAGAATGATTTTGGCAGCTCATAAATATTAGTTGCTGATTCCTAGAAATATTGCAATCACACTGCAGTATGGTTAGAAATGACCCAATACTCTGGGTCATAACAAAGTTTTAAAGTATAATCAACTAGTTTTATTTAGCTATATGGTGGTCTTTAAGTTCTCTCCATCTCTAGCTAGATGATGCTTCAAGCATCAGTTGTACATAGTGATACTCGGTATTTAATTTTTTATATATAGATACTGTGTGTTAAACTGCTACATAATGGTGTGACAGTATCACACCACCTACGACTGGACTGTGCGGCTGTACCCAGGCACTGTGAAAAAGGTCAGCGTAGTTATAAGCAAGGCTTTACATTTAACTTATTGAGCTTCCTGAGCAAAACAGCTTCCGATTTAGTCAGATGAGAAAAAAAAAGTTTATTTCCATTATACTCTGCAGAATATATTTTTGCATTACTATATGGGTTTTGTCATTCTTACTTTTTCAAAGTTGTCACATAAATCATGAATGATACAGATCACACCTTTGAAAGTTGTCAATGATGAAATTATCTCAGTATATGACCTCAAGAATGTTGTTCATGCTCCTATATTGCAAAGATAGCTCTCTGCTAATTCTCTCAGATCAAGAGACACAAGCCTGAATCACTGTTAGTAGTTGTGTAAATCATGAAAATGTGGTTGCAGACTGTCATTACAACTTTATATTCTTGTCAGCTTTGTTTACCTAAGCACACAAGTAGCTCGTATGTTTAATATGTTTGCTATATAAAATGGATGTTCTAAATAGGCAAAGGTGGGTACTTTCCATTTTTACTCATTATTTGGGATCTACTGTTGTATATTCCCTTTCAGTACACAATTTTTAAGCAATATTTTGCTGATACCATCTCATAATACTTAGTATACAAGCTGTTTATACATAGCCTTAGTATACAAGGCCATAAGATGAGTAATGAGGGCTGTGTATGTATGATCTGAAAAAAATAAGGCTTAGAAGATGTAAACATGATGTTGTTTCCAGACTTCCAATTAGGTGTGGGATAATTCAAACTGAAAGAATCTTATTTAATTTGGGTAAACAAAGTGAATAGTTTTGTACTGGCCTTTAGGAATAAACATTATACAAATTACGGCAGCAAATCTGAAACAGGCATCCTTATCTAAGAGCCTAGTAAGACTACCTTGACTTAAAAAAATGAGTCATCTGGTTTTAACAGTTTGAGGAGTATTCTACTTTGTGTATCTCCTCATATCTTCTGTACTGGATCTCTGAACTCTTTCCTGCAGCAGCTGACCTGAAACCAGTCTTTTCTATAACTGTAATTCCTTAAGCAAAATTACTAAACTAATGGGACTAGAAACAAATAACCAAGAACAAAGACAGCCAAGACAAAGATCAGCTGTGTTAAGTTGCTCTGTGCTTTGTTATTCCCTACCAGTGAGGTGACCTACAGAGGCATCACAGAACACTAGCAGGTTGGTCTAGCTGTCCTTCTATTTCTGGCTCCTTCTGGCCAGCAGTAGGGGATGCTTTCACAACAGCATTTGGATTTAGTGGCAATGTTGGCAACTTTAAGCTGGGAGTTATGGGTAGACATCACATTGTTAAGCTTCTCTACCACATGAGGGTCTCTGCTTCCTGGCCCTGGCAAAGAATCTTGGTGCCTCTGTTGGGATAGACACAACCATAAATGTAGAATGACAACTGGCATTTCTGCAGAAGACAGCAAATGACACCATCTACTGTCAAGACTAACAATTCAGGCTTGAAAGATGTAAGCAAATGCCTTTGGGTTGGCAAATGCCTTTGGGTTGGCTCAGGGACTTGTCACCAAGTTCCAGGGCTGGGACATCTTGCTGTGAGGCAGCTACAGCGGCACGACCAGTCCAGCTCTGCACCGAGCAGTCCATCAAGGCTTGTTGCTCATGCCCAGACATACTGTGTAGCTCCACTTGAAATTTAATCCCTTTGCACAGGTACCAAAGGTCTTTATAATCAACTGGTTGTCAGTAGCACACAGAAATTAAGTGGCAGGAGCTGGCACTCAGGAATGTGCAACTGTTTGTGTGTGCTGTGAGTGCCTGCATGCTTCTGGGAAGTACCAGCACACTTCCCAACACTTAGCTCTCGATATTTCCTAGCTCCTTGAAAACAGGATGATGTTACAATGAAGAGCAGTAGCAGTGCCACCTAGGTGGGGCTGTGTCCCTGTGCTCCTGCAAGGGGATGACAGGCAGGGGCTAGTGTTCTTGAGCTGGCCTTCTCTGCAGCTCTGTCCTGCACAGCAGACCCTTGTCACAGACATGATCCAGTTACCCAGAAATACCTGTTAGCTGGTGCAAGATATTCATGTGCCTGTCTGAAGGGTAAGAGAAGTGCTAAAGCACAAGAGCAAGTGAAAAAATACAATTCATTGGTTTAATTTGGTCCTTTTAGGCAAAAGACGTATGAAATAAGTACACGTAGTCATGGTAGTTTTTAATAAAGAGTCATTATTTTTCCATGGCCTTAAATACTAATATAAATTAAATATCATATAGGTATGTCAGTAGCTTATTCATACTGATATTTATATTGATACTCTGACGATATTTTCAGTCCTAAGCCATCAAACTAATTATTGCTCTGAAACATAAAAAGGCTGAAACTATTAAAGCAAATAATGCAGCTTTTTTTTAATTTCTAGTTAAGGTTTAAAATACAGACTTGAGAAAATAGCCATTTCAGTGCCAGCTGTGTGAGTTCAGTAGGGACTTTGGCAGCAATTCTATTAATGGATTTGTACAAAAGTTGAAATTGGGTTTTGCTGCCTGGAATTAAGGGATGTATCCTAATAAAATTTTCGTCCTTACAGCTCTATTCAATTACTGATACTGTTACGTAGTTTTATAAAAAGTGGTGTGATTTTTTTATAAAGTGAGTGAAACCGCCCCCTGCCCTGCAGATTTTAGGACATGGAGAATGACTTTTCTGGTTAATACTCTATTATTCAAAATCAATATTTAAATGTTGGAACTGTAATTTATACTTTCAGTCTATCTGCTTTGTCTCCAAGATCCTAGTCACTAAAGCAAAGAGTGCTGTTGTGCTGCAGACAATAACTCATATTTCAGAGAAACCTGCAGTAGATCTTGTAATAAACTGTGATAGATACAAGCTTCTGCCAAAAGAAGCTCCTTTTTGACTTTTGTCATATCTGAATGCATTGTTGGTGTTTATCAACTGTATTTAATGCAAACAAAGAGCTAATTATGGGGGGTTTTCCACCTTTACTGATTATGATTTCTATAAAAATACACATTATTGTCTTGCCTTCCAAAAAAAAAAAAAGAACTGGTTTAAATAACTGATGATTAACAGGATTTTACATTAATTTATCCAAAGCATGTATTCCTATTCAAAAATCTATTTGAGAGCTTTGATTAGAATGGTGAGTGCTAGGTGGAGAGTGGTGGGCTAGTAAATGATCCTCACCACCTTCTGTTCCTCGCCTTGATTGCTTTCCTTACTTTTGTGGAGCTGCCTTCTTTGTAAGTACTTCCTGGTTTTGTTGAAGGGGCACCGTGGTGTCAGTGCTGTGGCCACACATGGGGGAGTGCAGCCTCCTCCTCAGCACAGCTGACCTGTGTGGTACGGGGTGAAAGGGTGGGGGTTCTGTACCCACAGGAAAGGGATCTGCTGTAATCCTCTGCAGACTGAACATTAGGAGAGATGTGATCCCTTCATATGTACAGCATCATTCCTGGGATTGTTTTCACTCATTCAGCTTACCTAGAGAAGGGGCAGTTTCCAGAACACTGGAGCAGAGTCTTCCTTGATTGCTAGTTGAGGCATGACAGGACTGTGCCGTCTGACTGCAGCTAGTGGCAATTCCACAGATCATCAGAAAAGATCCTTCCCGTTTTCAGGCTTGCTTTCCCCTATCAGTGGGCTAATTTACTTCCTGAATGCATTAGCCTGTGCCTAGTCCCCTGCATGTGCTGGACAAATGTGCTTGATGCAGAGCTACATACCTTCAGTGTTGTAGAGCACTTCGTAGCAAATGGAGCACCAACATACACATACCTACCATAAAGAGTTTGTTTACAGAAATCTTTCTAATTTAGAATCACAGTAATTCAGCTAATAGGGGCTCCAGTAGTAACAAGTTTCCAATAGGCTCCCTCCATGGCCATCAGTTCATCATGAGTGCCCCTTTCAATGACGAGTCCCTGGGACATCACCGCAATGATGTCGGCGTTCTGGATGGTGGACAAGCGGTGGGCAATGACGATGCAGGTCCTCCCTTCTCTGGCCTTATCCAGCGCTGCCTGCACAGTCTAAAGGCAACAAAGTGTCAGAGTGAAAATATGCAAACCAAATCAGGGCTCAGAGCTGCAGGAACCCAATTGCTTCAGATAAATTGGCTTTTAAAAGTGACAAGTGAATAAGGCTAAATCAAAGGTTATGATACTGGTGTGCTTAGCTGGGTCATGAAGTCTGTTCACAAGCAGTACAAAGGAGGAACAGGTAAACACAGACAGCAGTAGAAATTAATGAAGGCTTTTACTCAGGTAATGTGCTAACTGTCAGCTCAGTGTGGATATGGTTTTAAATTCCACCCTTTCTCTAATCTCTGCAAGTAACCAAGCTACACAAATTATCGCCCAAGTTCTTAGGCCCCTCACTGCTGTTTTTATTGGCTAGTCAGGATTATGATTTGTATGCATAAATACATTTTTATTTTGGTTGTTTTTTAATGTACAGTTACATTTATGAACTATTCTCATCTGAATGCTTTGAAACCCAGGCAATTAGTGCCCACATTTCTGAAAAAGTGCTGCCTCTTATGGACAGTTTAGGAGCCCTTGGAGCTGACTGCTTTTTTTTATAGCTGTGCCTCCTGCATCTTTTGGAAAGATCATTAAAGATGGAAGTGCTGAATTCACAATACGGAATAACGTGCGGTCCTGTAGTGGAGTATGTTGGGATGTCTCTATAGGACAGAAAGGCTTTGTACACCATAAGCCATTGTATTAACTTTCCCCTATTGCTCATCACTGCACATCTACCTTTTCGCTTTCCGTGTCCAAGGCAGAGGTAGCTTCATCCAGTAATAGAATTTTAGGATCTCGGATAATGGCCCTCGCTATGGCAATGCGTTGCTTTTGCCCACGAGACAGCTGGGATCCTTGTGCCCCAACATTAGTTTCATATTTCTGAAAAACATACAAAAGGAAGATTTTATTCACTTGTAAGCCAACACAGCAGTACACAGCCTGAAGGAAGAGCAGGAGGAGAGAGGTAAGAATGCTGACCACAGCTGCCTCCTCCTTACAGAAGCCAGGGATGCAGAAACACTGTGCAGTGCTACACTTGTTTGAGGAGAGGTTTCCAAGCCATGCTTTGCCTGCACGTGCTCAGAGGCCCAGGCAACACAGTGATGAGCCTGGAAGAAAACTGTGATAGCAAGATGCTGGCTGATTTGTCTGAGGCAAAAAGAAATCCCCTGCCCCAGACTCGGGAGAAGATGCTAAGAGTGATTTCGGAGCTTGTTTTGTTTGGGTGCCTAAATTGTATCCACACCTTTAATGTTCTTTTGATTTATGTTAATATGATTTCAGTGCACTTAAATACTTCTTAAGTGAACATAAGCAGCCAGCTTCAAATACTTTTTTTCTAAATATCACGCCCTAGTCACAAGGCAAATCTCTTACAGCTGAGAACAGGATTTATATATTTGCCTACTGTGTAAAAAGCCAGTAGCACCTCACAACCACAGTCTCAGGAACATAAGGCATGGTTATGGCACCCTCTTTGTTCCTACAGCTGTAAAAGGACATAAAAGGTGTACGTGTGTAGCAACTTTAACTGGGTTTGGAGCAACCCCCACTGCAGCGAGCACTGAACAACCTGTCTGTAGTTCCACAGCCAAGGCCTCGCAGGTACTTACATTAGGCAAGGACATGACAAAATCATGCAGTTGAGCCTTCTGGGCTGCTTCTATGACTTTTTCCATGGTCGCCTCTTTTGTGTTACTGCCATATTTGATATTATCAGCAATGCTGCAGTCAAATAGCACGGGCTCCTGTGACACTATTCCAATTTTTGATCTAAGAAACTGTACATTTATGTTCTTAGAGTCATGTCCATCTATTAACTATAAGGAAATGGGAGAAAACTTGAAACATCATTAGGAAACAACAGCCTGCTACACCTAAATAGTTTATAGCAAAACTAAATGATTGAACTATATTATTAAAATGCAAACACAACTGATTTAAACTGATTAGAAGAATTGCTTATATTTGTCTTTTGTGCATGATGTGTATTTTGTGTTATGGCTTTCATTCAGCCAAATGCTAGACCATTTGCTCAATATTAAGTTATAGTGAACTATCTAATTGCTTGAGGTTAGGCACATGCTTTATTGCCTTCCTGACACTGAGATCACCACAAGGATTTTTTCCAAAGAAAGAGAAATCAATCTAGATGGGTATTTACATTAGGAAAACATATAAAAGCTTACTAAGCTATCAGTAATCAAGTTAAATCTAGACAAATTCAACCTGCAAAGAGGCTGCATATTTAGGGATGTTCTAGGCTCTTTGTTGCTCCATTTAGACTTGATTTTTGCTTGTACTCCCACAATATACAGCACACATTGTATGTTTCATAAAGGAGCTGCAAAGGCAAAAGCCTATGGGGTACATAATGCATAAGAGTGCACCTGAGGCTTGTAGTTCTCTTATCTTGCCTGAATACATCTGAGATGATATTTGGGAACTGTCCAAACAGTCCATATCTGTTTGAGAAGGAGCCAAAGCCCCAACCTGCACATATACACACCACCACTGCTAGGCTGCACAGGAGGACACAGGCAGAAGGCCCCTGGAGCACTGCTGAAAACAACAGCACAGAAACCATGTTTTCTTTGCTTACCACACTTCCTTTGTCAGGGTCATAGAAACGCTCCAGAAGCTGGACACTGGTGCTCTTACCACAACCACTACTTCCAACAAAAGCTAAAGTCTGTCCAGGCTTAACAGCGATAGAGAGTCCTTTCAGAACCTGAATATCAGGCCGAGAAGGGTATGTGAATTTACAATTAAGAAATTCAACACTTCCCTTGAAATCCTCCTGGTGAAAAAAAGAGAAAGATGTTACAATGACCTAAAGCTCAAAACTGAAAGTTGTAAGGTACAAAATAAGTCTTCCTCAGATACCATTCTGGCATCTCTTGTTTAAAATATGACATTCGCGCTTGTGAAATTAGCTGAGGAAAAGGGATAAAAACCACACTGGAGTAGCTGTCCTAGACATTAAGCATGTCATAACACTATTTCTCTGCTTGTACTTCCCCACATGGCACTGGTCAGAGCAATCAACTGATGGGATTGCCTTGCAAATGGGTAAGTTTTTAATTTTAATACAGACACTCTGTATAAAATAAACAATTTGAATTTTCTGGGTCTGACTTTTCAATTCACTGGAAATTGAGCATTTTCATTTAGTCTGACTCAGTGATGCTTCGCCTCCTCATGAACACCCCCACCAGTTTGATGTGAATGGAAAAAGCCTCCTTTGTAAGCCAGTGATAGTCAGGTTTGTGCATGAACTGTAGAGCAGGAAATAAAAACTTGTTATTCTGTGAGTCATCCAAATCTGTTCCATTCCAATGTACAGGTATTTTACATGCCAAATTCCTAATAGCCCACTTTATATTACTCTTGCTGCCTAGTACAGAGCTCACTGCTTCTAAAAGAGCAAAGACAAGTAACAATTATACAGCCAGCATAACCTTCTTGTAAAGCAGTGATCCTCACTGACTCCTGAATCATTAGTGCAACTTCCATGCTTATATTGAGCTGAATGACATCACAAATTACTCATCTCCACTCTTACCCATTTTTCCCCTTTTTCACTGTAAACACTGATTTTAGGAAGCCGATCGACCAGTTGAAAAAAGCGTGCAGCAGATGTTTTGGCTTTGGCATAGTTTGGGGTATAGGAAGAAGCTTTCCCCAAAGCAGTTCCACTGGTGACTATAGCAGAGATCACCCTGGGGGGAAGGGGGACATGGTCATTCTTGGGAAGCCATCAGGGAACTGAACACTAGACCAAGCCCAGCACTTCTGGAGACCCATTTGTGGCTCCAAGCAGACTCTCACCTGAACACAAAGCTGTAATGGAGTCCTTCAGAGTCAACTAGAAACCCCCCGTATCTGTAGGAGACAGAGTTGGCAATGAACACTATGCTCTGGGCAAAGCCAAAGCAGAGCCCATAAACGTGTGCTTTTTTGATTGCAGCTCTATAGGGCATATTCAGGTGCTTCTCAAAATTGTTGATAAACATTTTCTCTTTCCCTATCCCAGCTACAGTCCTGATGTTAGAGACAGCTTCACTGGCAATCTGGAGGAGAAAAAGAAAAAAAACAGGTAAAAGCTCCAAATTTTTGCTTGGAAAAAGTTGAGTGTGCTTTCACAAATGCATGATTCTTTCATGAACACAGGACACTATTGCAATATATAAATTCATTCAAACATGATACAGACTGGCCCAAATATCAGCCAGCCTAAAAAGAACCTTTCCTACAAGCAGTTATCTACTGACATCCTCAATAGCAATGTTCTGCGTGCTCCACTGGAGCTGACTTACTGTAAGTGCACTGAGGGAATCAGGCACGTGCTCTCACTTGTGATTTATTTCACATAATGTGAATAAATGCGACATCTGCAAAAGGAAAAATGTTTTTAGGAACACTGTTATTCCTAACATTAGGAAAGGTGAACCAAACTGCTGAGAGATCTGTGTCTACCACTTCAGTCCAATCATTTCTGAAAGGTCAGTCACACTCCATGCAGGAACTGCTTTTGCAGTTAGGGAGTTCTCAACAGCGTTTCAGTGGTTTGACAAGCTGAAATATTGCACCTTATTTGCAAAACATTGCCAGTTTACATCTGAATTACTGAGGATCCCAAATGACTGATTTTTCAACTACTCATGACTGCAAATATGAATTAGTCTTTTAAACAGCATTACCCGTCCAGTAGCTTCCAGTGCTTTCTTGTCCTGTGAGGCAAATCCTGTCAGCATTTTAGCCTGCACAGCTCCAGATAAGGCCAAAAATGGCAGGAAACACAATATAACTAAGGTCAGTTTCCAGCTGAAGTAGAAAGAAATGATCATGGCCACACCAACGTTAGTAAAGGAATTGACAATCATTCCTATCTGTGATCCAGTTGCCTTCGAAGAAAAGAAACAGAGATGACTGACTTATACTCCAGTAGTAACTTCAACAATCTTAAAATAAATTTTCCTATAAAACTTTAGAAAACTCTAAATTACATTAAAATATCATAAGGCACTAAGAGCTGCTGAGTGCACTGAAATTTAGCCAGTTTGGATAGTCTGTTTCCAATTAATTGTATCAACAGGAAGCCTTCAAATGCTCAATATTCCTTTCATCCACCAAATTTTCCATTGAGAGTTCAGAATATTGTTTCTACTGATTGTAAGAGAGATAATCTAATTATTGAAATTAGTTCCCTTGGTTCCCTGAGGAATCACTCATCTGAATACACTGTTTAGCCCTCACATTTACCATCTATATATAAATAATAAACAGGACCCTTTTGTAACTTAGTTATTAGCAACAAAGCCTCAGCTGTGCTAAAATCAGTAAGAAACATCACTTAAAAAGCATGAAACAAAGCTGCATTTCTGCCTATCTTTCCTTTATTAAGGAAAAATTTTAAATATAGCTTTGACATCACCTTTATTGAATGCATTCATCTTCTCCTTATGCACTTCAACAACACCATTCTTTTTAATAAATTTGATTTGTTTACTACTTTCATAGCAGTAAACAGCAGCCTTAGATAGGAGCTATGCTGCCATGTATTAGAATAAAAATGTACATTTGATATCCTTGATGACTTTCAGTCAAATCCATTTGCAGGATGTGAACTTGCAGCACAAAATGCTTTACCATCTGTTCTCTGACCTGCAGCAAGCTCTGTCAGTCAGGGAAAGGTGGAGGGCACTGCTGCCCAGGTAGCTCTGTTCCCCCATCCCAAGCTGTGGAGTGGATGGCTGTGCCCCACTGCTCTTCCCACTGCTCTGCATATGCTTTGAACAAAGCTATCCATTAGGAGGCTATTATACAGTTCACTCAGTGTTTTACAGGTTTATTTATTTCAATTAAAATATGCCCTGTAAGTGCCTGTAAGATTTGCAGTTAGTTTCTCTGATTCTGTAGAAATTGCTGCTGACAGGGGTTTTGGAAACCTCTTCTCTCATTTGTTTTTTAAATTATTAAAACCCCCATTAACAGTTTTTCAAAACTAACCTACCATGTTCAGTCAAGCTGAAACAGGACAGTTTTTGTAACAAAGAAATCTGTACATCTCTTTCTTTCTTTCTAGAAAATTGCTCGCGTTGGAGCCAGGTAAAATGGCATCTGACTCCCACCTATCAAAGGATCAATCCAGATAGGATATATATGTAACAGCTATAGCTCAATATGATTTAACCTTCATCCACTAAGGAACACTATGCATGAAGTTAGTGTTTCATTTTCCCAAACACTGAAACTGGCTGCAGAATTCCTGGCTGGAACATCAGCCAGTACTGCAAACTGTTTTTTCAAGTGGGCTGTCAGTTTAAATTGAAACTTCCGCAACGTACACAATGCCATGCTGAACACTGGAAAACATGGTTAGTAATCAATGTCACTAAAATACTAGTTTGACATGTTTTGGAAATAAACACTGAAGCATTGTGGCAAAAAGCTAATTCATTTCCAGAAAAAAAAAAATCCAGACAGGAATAATGGGTTGTAAATTGTGAGCCTATTGGTGCTTTTAGGAAATACCACTATAATAGTTCCACACTGACAGTCTATGATAAATAGAAATAGCTTAATTGGCTGACCAAGGACTGTTCTACATTGACCTGGCTGGTTCCACTCTAGATAATTTCTGTTAACAATGTGCCAAAACAGGTCTTTAATCAGTGCTTAACAGTAAAATAATTCATAAGCTACCAGGTCTTACCCCTTGGACCTGTGAGGCATCTGTTGCAAGTCTTGTAGTCAAAGCCCCAGGGCTGTTCTTCCGGTCATCAAACCAGCCAATGTCTTGCCCCAGCATAGCCTGGAAGCCAATTTTCCTTAAGCGCCTTGTAAGCAGCTCACCAGACTTGGCAAAGGTGTATCCCTGGGGTGCATGAGAACAAATATAAATACTGTAAGAAAGAGATACCCACAGAGTAAAGGGTTCAGAAACAAAATTTAAGTATGTTAGACTGCTATTACCTGTAGAAACTGTGTGAAAAATGAAAGAACTCCCACCAAGACAAAGAGCACACAGACACCATTGATCTGGGTATTTTGTTCTTCTTCATCAAGAATGGAGAAGGTCTTTGAAAAAAAAAATGGTGGCATTATATTAGAAGTGTTAGTTTTTCTGTGTGTGAAGTTTGTTCTTGACTCCCTGTTGCCAAGTGCAGAAGCCCACCCTAGAACCAAAGCCAGAACACAGAGCTCTCCCTCATCCACTGCAAAGGCATCATTCCTTATTTTTCTAGGGTGACCCTGGGTTAAAACATAATGGGGTTTTCTCCTGTTGAACAACAAGTTTACTATACTCAGTGTCTGCAAACACTACTATTACTTGTGGCCCATCCCCAGTTATAACTAACCAATCACCACTTACTCTAAACACTGATAACCAGAGAATTGTCATGAAATAAATAGCATAGCAGCAAAGCAACAGTACAGCAGCATCTTACCTCCTCTCTGGTCTATGCCATTGCAACTTTATTGGGCTGTACAAAATAAAGTCTGGGTAAGTAATTACAGCTCAGCATGACTTCCTGCACAACATTAACAGACACTATAATTACCATAAGTAGGCTCCAAGAGGAACCAAGTGTCTTTTACTTCCAGAGTGTGGATACAAGCCATTCACTTACTGCTGAGCACTTGAGAAAAAGCATTAGTGCTTAAATTATAGCCCCTTCACCCCATTCAGCACCAGCCTCCACAGCGGTCTTCTCTCACTCTTAATATCTGTTCTTTTTCAACACCTGCCAATGTTATTGGTTGCTGCTGAAGTACGGGTCCAAATCTAAGTAGCCATCCTTTAGCATTTCCTTTCAGTCAGAGCAGTTGATATGTAGGTCAGTGTATCTATCTGAAGCTGTTTGTCTGAACTATTTCTGCTTGTTGCAGTCAGAGCATATCTTCTGGTTGAGTTTCACTGGAAAGGATTCATTTCCCATACTCTGAGACAATTCCACAAGGAGAACGAAAGCACAAGTAAGAAGAAACTACTGAGAAATTTGTTCAAAAGGTACATATCCAGGATTATCCACTTCTTCATTGACTTTTGGGATTAATTTCTGAAAACTTTTAGGGCAGACTCAGCTTAATGTATCCTTTTACTTAATAACTGTGGGGATTCCCCAGCCTATTTGTCCCAGAGTACAAGTTCACATGTTTGACACAACAACATTGCAGATATTCAGACAGATTTAAAAGCAGATGCATATTCCATCTGCCTGACTGCCTTGACACCGGGCAGAAATATTTTAAATTTATTAATACTAAAACACAGATGTTGGACTTTGCTTGTGTTCGCCATGGATTGCTTTTTCTTGCAGCCTTTCTCATTCTCTGCTTCAGAGCTAAAATACACATTAAAATGTTACTATAACATACCCCAAGAATCTGACTGAATAACAAAGCATAGAGTGGATTGACTGCTCCATTCATAGCTGCTGCCAGAGATCCAAGCACCAGGTATGGCCATTCGGAGGCATTGTATTTCAAAATTCTGGTAAATGATACAGGCTTGGCGTCTTCCTCCACAACAGATTCCTAAAAAACAGGTTGGATTTATGAAGTGAATGCATTCCCCCAGTGATGCTCTCCCTTTGACAGTGAGATCAAATAGTTAGCCTAGTTTGTTAAATGACCATCTCATGCCCAAACAGCTGCTCTAGCTTTGTACAGGAGGGGAAAAGACAGCTGCTCTCTGGAGTTCTTTTGTAGGCCTGATGAGTCACAAGAGGGTTACATAAATGACTACCTTTACTGCCTCTGGAGAAAAAGAGAGAGATTCATGCCTTGTGGAGCTCTAATGATTCCAACTGAAGAGGTTATTTGCAACCAGTTTAAGATATTCTGCCACTGAAACTCAGGATGTTTCCTTTTATCTACCTCCAGATGAGATGTGGTGCAAAACCTAAACTTCTTCCTCACAAGCAGCTTTTTGTGTCACTCATTAAATCTTCTTAAATATTACTTTTTAAGTATTGTGGATGAACACACTGATCAGACTCTGCCTCAAATTAAGAGGTATGTGATATAATTAAAACGAGAGATCTCACAGTGATAGCTGGATTCAGGCTTTATACACGCTAAGTATGACTCCCTTCTGTGAAACATCCTCGGACTATATGTTGAATTCCCATAATTATGCCCAGTAAATGCAGAATATTCATCATCAAATTATAACTTGTCCTGCAGTTTGATATTTGCAGAATGTTTGTAACACTTACGTGCTCAGCCCTGCTCATGTCCCTCAGTTCATATGACTAGAAATGCCCAGACAAAAGAGACACTGTGAAGACATCTCTGTTGGAAAGGAGGCAAGGAGGAGTGGGTGGAAGCAAGCATCTTGTATTTTCTCTTGCTTCTGAGCTAGTGACACAGTGACAGCACTAAAGCACTCTATTTATCCACAGAATTGGCTTAGCAATAGCAAGAAGAGTGACTTCCCACTGCTGCTCTCTGCACTGAACCACAGCCAAGAAAATTGGTGCAGAGAGCTTCATAAGCAATTTGGAAACCCACTGTGTATATTCCTACATATTCTGTGTAATTTTAAGGCCTGCTGCCTTCATTTTCTATGCCAGTTGATTGCAGGAGGACACTGACAGCAAAAGGACTCTGGGTTAGTTGCAGTGAGGGGGTCTCTCTGCTGAAGTCTCTGGATGATTTTGAGATGAAAGTGAATTTACTCTTTATTGAACAAGAAGCAGTGCCATTTGTATCACTGAGTGGCTGGTACATTTCACAGACTGAGCAGTTTGCTTTTTGTCAGTTAATTCAGCTTTTATGAATATGTTTCTCAACTAAATCTACAACATGTATCAATTTACCAATAAGTCATGCTCTGTTGGAAATTTTGTATGGACCAATAAGCATAACAGACATCAAAATGCAGCCTAGGGTTTACACAGAAATAAGAATTGAAGCTGTGGTTTTGTTTAAGCAGAGAAGAGGATCAAGCCAGGAAAACATACCTGCCACCAACTCCTACAACACAGACACCTATCTATAGGTGATCATTACCAAGGGATATAATCTGATTGGTTGAAAATTTCCTAACAAGCTATTGAACCTGACCTTTCTTGCTTTTCCATCATCTTCTCCATAAGAAGTAAGATACGTAGACTCTGCATGATCTCCTCCTATAGATAATGGAGGCTCAGGGACCAGATTAGAGAGCTGAGATCTCGAGCGCTCCCGAAGTGAAGCTCTGCAAAGAGGACACAAATAGTCTGTTCTTCACAGCTCAGTAACACAATACTTGCTTGCAAAGCAGGTACAGTTCTTATATCAACTAAATCAGGATGCACTGAAGTAATTAGTCAGAATCCCACAGACCTTTTCTTTCTTTTCTATGATCTTTCAACTTCTTGAGGAAAAAAATCTCACAACAGGGGCAAATACTTTTCAAAATCATATTCCACTCACACCACTCAGACATTGTCTTAGATATACCACACACTCTGTATTTGTTGAGTAAAACTACAGTGTGTCCTACTATATTTGCACAAGTTAAGACACCAATTCAAACCACCATTACCACTACCAGTAATTCAGTCCAGAAAAACAGGATATTGAAACAACTCATCTCTACCTCTGATAAAACATAACTCTGTAATGTAGGACATGTATTCATTTGTATATGTCTGACATGGGCTTGCCTGAAAGAAATAATAAGTGTCTAACTACAAGGCAGTCTGGCTTGGAAAATGCTTTAACTTCCATCAAGCAGAAGCCATAATAAAAATGTCCTTGTAGATTGCATTGATCTCCCAAGTAATTGCACAGCAAGTCATTTTTCAAAGGACTGGACTGCAAGTGCATTAGATGTTACAAATGTGGCTGCATGTTAGCAATAATAAAAACAGAACATTAACAAAGTAAATCAAAATTGGAGAGAAAGTACTATGGATAGAAAGAGGAGCAAAATTAAGAGCCTTGCTATTTATCCATGGACTTCAATCAGTAACATTAATACTCAAGCTATTTCTTTCCAAATGAACTCTATCTCAGTAAAATGCTTGCAGTCCTTCAACCCTCTTTTACGCAGCACACAGAAAAGTCATTTATTAGCACTACTGGTATTTTGGAATAGCAGGATGAAGCACAGAGATCTGGAAACACACTGAGATTTACAACCATTTTTAAGACTCACCTCAAACTGGCCCGATAGCTTCCTCTGCTGAACGACTGGACTTTCTCAAGAGTTGGCTCAACCACATCATCCTCTGCTGCTGCAAAATATAGTATATAGAGCTCTCCAGTTAGTGCTAAAATTGAATACAACCTAAGTTCACTGTGGCTCTACAAAAAAGTGCAGTGTCTCCAAGTCATAAATGGAATACCTTGTAGAAGGCAAAGAATGTAATACAACCACGCTACTCAACCTACATGTATCACAAGGTTTATATTTGTATTCAACAGGATGAATTTAACCAAATTATAGCCCAAGGACCATCTCACTTGAGATGTGACTGCCAAAGGCTTTTTCTCTGTTCGAACTCCGTAATTTCTCTCTTATTTTAAGATAATCATATCCAACGTATGACATTTCACAAAAATACAAGAGATCATTCTATTAGACCTTAATTTCCAGAAGCTTTGATTCAAATCTGCCTCTAGCAAAACAAATAAAGTGGTTTCAGCATACTCTGTAATTTGCTTGAATTTCAAATGCAGCAGGACTGGACCACTGGCACACAGTGGAGCTATAAAATGATGGGTATTGAAGGTCAGGACTATTTCAGGGTAGATCTATATTAGAAAGGTCATTCAGTGCATATGCAGCAAAAACACTTTGGCCAGGACTGTCAATGTGTTACTTCTATGAATGATAAAATTCAGCCATAAAAGTAGAAGAAAAAAAAGAAACAACTAGTCCTTATAAAAAAAAAAAAATTAAAATATCTGGATTTTTACCTAATTTAGTTTCTGTTTCTTCTGTAGTAGGTGCTGGGTCTCCTTTGCTTTGCAAGGTCACCAACATAAAATAAACCCCTTTCCTCTTCAACAGTTCCTCATGAGTTCCTCGCTCTACAGCCCTTCCGTGCTCAAACCCCACGATGACATCGGCGGCTTTGACGGTCGACAGGCGGTGAGCTATCGAGATCGCTGTGCGGCCAAGGCGAGCCTGGCGGGAAACACAGCACATGGAAACGCTTGGAACATGAGCCATGGAATCTAAAGTCTACTCAAATTAACAGGAGTAGTTCCAGCTGACTTTGACTTAAGCTCCATCCATAGCCCACGGAGCAGAGCTATAGATTTCTGTTAATGTCCCAAAGTAAGCAAAAATTATTCTCTGTCAATAATATCAAGGTTCTACTTGTGCATACGGAACAGTTATTAAGCAGAGCTTCTCACTTATTTGTTGAAATTCAGCAACACTCTCTGCAGAGTACATTAAAAATAATTTCTGTCCTTTCAAGTCCAATTTTTGCCATACTATAGCAAACCTTATGAAGTGCTTCTTGGACAATAGCTTCACTTTCATTATCAAGTGCTGACGTAGCCATATCCAGTAGCAGGATTTTGGGGTTTCGCACCAAAGCTCGAGCAATAGCTATCCTCTGTTTTTGACCTCCACTCATCTGGCTTCCACCCTCTCCAACATGAGTGTCAAATTTCTGTGTGAAGGAGAAACGTGAAAATGAAACAGATAACCAAAAAGTCTGTTAAGCTTCTGGTGAAGATATTGGTAAAATGTCTCTCAGATTTGTCCCTGGAGTAGACTTTAAAAAAATTATTGTCTTTGAAAGACAAAACCATTGTTAGAGCAAATATTCAAAGGACAACTGGTGAAATAATTTTCTTCATAAAGTACAACATCATTTTGCCTGCACTGAGCTTCCAACCCCAAGCCAAAAGTATGCACTGGTAAAAAGGTGAAATGTTCTGGTTTAATTCAAAACAACTATATGAGCAAAAGCTGAAATGGAGAGGAATCACCCACCCACTTTCCCTCAGATGACTCAGAAGCAAACTTTTCACAGACCTGGATTTGGCTGCTGAGGACCTGTGACTCACGGACACTGTGTCTGTGATTCATGGACATCACATTCTGGTGGCATTGGGTTCAGGTAGTGAATTAAACAAACATGTAAAGCCTGGCATATTGAGAGATAGGATAATTATATTTACCTAGAGCTAAATCCTCCATTTCCAGGAAATAAACATGGGCCTTTAAAGAGCCTTTCTATGAATAGTCTCCTGGAAGCCTGGAGATGCATAGATGGAGGATAAAAAGTATGTACGGACTGTTAATGGTACTTGAATCCCATCAATAACATTCACTGTTGTATCATGTCATTCTGAGAAGTTACTTGGCAAAATAATAATCTAGAAAAGTAGACAGCCCAGTACTATTCAATATGGGCTTTGTAAGGAGGAATTATTGAAGCCCTGTCATCATAAGGGAAGGAACTGGAGAAGAGGGAACCTCCAGCTAGTTTACAAAGCTTGTACAAGATTAGGTTGTGAGCATCAGTACAGACTACTTCTACAACATATGCTGGCTACTGAGAGGCTGGGCTCTACGTTGCTTTTGGCCTGAGCAGAAACAAATCTACATACCATGAAAAATACGTATTTTTAAATCGTGCTATGATTATTACTGTGATATTGAGTGTTGTGCATATGATTCCTGAGGAACTAATCCTGCTCGAGGTTGTTTTTTTGGGGGGGAGGGTTGCTGCTTGTTGGGTTTTTAACTTGAAGACATGCATATAATAAGACCTAATTAACTGCAGTCAAAGGAAAGGTTGCTGCCTACTATGTATATTAATCTTCTGCCCTTCCACCTGAGCACAGATTGCTGCAGAGGGGGAGGGACAAAAGGATTCTCTACTTTTTCATCAAATCGTGCCAAACACTTTACAAGGCAGAGCATACCTGTGGTAAGTCCATGATGAAATTGTAAGCATTGGCCTGTTTGGCTGCTTTGATTATGTCTTCCATGGTAGCCTCATCCCGACCATAGCGGATGTTCTCTGCTATTGTGGTGGCGAAGAGCACCGGCTCTTGTTCAACAATGCCAATCTGTGAGCGCAGCCACTGGATATTCAGGGAACGAATGTCATGGCCATCCAGGGTAATCTGCAGAAGCCAATTAAAACACAGACACAAATTTAAGAAAAAAAAGTCAGGGAAATTATCCCCTCCAGTTCAGAGACAAAGAAAGACACACTGGAAATGAAGGGCTTGTGATGCTTTGTTTCCATGACCTGCATAAAAATCAGCTTGCATACACAGAAGAAGGCAATGCAGTGTCAGTAGCATTGGCTCTAGGAATTGTGCTCTTTGATTTCATTTCCATTTTTGCTTGGCCTCAGAAATAAAACCAGGTGAAAAGTAATCATGAAAATGATCATTATATGTTTACAAAAAAATCAGTTCTTTGTCTTTTATACATTTAAATAAAAGAAATGCACAGGAAGATATTTTGCTCATTTAAAAAATAAATTTTTTAAAAAGAAGGAAACAAAAAGGGAGTTAGGAGTCTTCCTTTCCACCTTGGAGAAGAAACCATGCTATTCTCTCAAGTTCCTAAGGCTGGAGAAACACATTCTAGGCTGGTACACTCACCATGCCTTCAGTGGGGTCATAGAAACGCTGGATGAGCTGCATCGTTGTACTTTTCCCAGCTCCACTAGCTCCAACAAAAGCTGTTGTCTCCCCTGCTTTAATAACCATATTAAGGTTATCCAAAATCTAGAGAGGAAAAAAACCAGAAACAGAATCTATCCATTCTAATTCTTTCACAGTCATACAACCAAATGAGTATACTCTGTATCTTCAAAGGGAGATTCAAAGCAATTTTACAAAATTCAGAACAGTATTATAAAGAAAAAGGATAAAGCAACCCACATATTTTTACATTGCTTGAAGAGTTTGTAAATGCAGAGCACTTATTTACACAACAGGGAAGCAGATTTAGATCTTTTTTAGTTACTGTTGTTCAGCATTAAAAACTAGTCAAGTTAATACCACTAGAGAACTTGGTAGTAAATTCCCTTTAAAGAACACCGCGTGTGTACTGTGAGGGCCTGGTAAAGCATAAATATTAAGAATGTCAGACTGAGATTCTGTAGAAAAATCTGATACTTCATGTACTTCTGTCTCTAGAAGCAATAGCACTCATTTTCTTGTCCAATAATATGCTTTTCCAAGAAGAATTTGTCAATTCACACACAGCAATAGAGAAATTATGGGTTATACAGTCAATGTTCCTGTACCTTTCTTAGCATTTTAATGGGTAACATGGCACATCCCCAGGATAATCAAAGAGTTTTATAAAATCTCCTTGCACCATTCAGCTTTTTACTTTGTGTTCTATTCTAGCAAACATTGATACAAGTGCACAATTGATTGTAAAAGAAGCTGTACACAAGTGAATTTGTCTGAAATTACTAGGAGTCTAGGAATATGTTGATGTGGCAAGGGATATATCAGAATGGCAAAATAAGCAGAATGGTAAGGAGAAGAACCCTTTAATAGAAGAATTATTCAGTTGACTTTTAAACAAAGGATCTGGGCTTCTAGAAAATGACCTCTACTGAAAATCTAGAAATTGCAGGCAGAATCAGGATATTTTGATTGTTTCCAATAATTGTGTTCACAGGATGGATGATGAATAGTTACCTTTATGTCTGGTCTGGAGGGATAATGAAATGTTACATTATGAAATTCAATTTCACCTCGTACTTTATCCAGCTTGTAGCCATCTTCTGACATGCAGTCAATGGTGGGTTTCTAGGATAAAATTTATTATGTTATTTATTTGCTGTTAAATAGACAACAGTGCTGCAGTATATAAATATTCCCAATACCATACAAAGCCATAGCACTTCTGTTTGAGCAGCATTTGGTTGCATAGAGCCAGTTGCAGGCTCTGCCCCAGGGACAGCAGGCAAGGGGCATGAGATTGAGAGCCAGAGTGATGGGGGAGTTGTCCCCAGTGGATAGTATGGGCAAGAAGGATGCATCCTCTTCTCATTTTAGGCTGACTGCAAATACCACAGTCAACCACTCAGCTAGGTTTTGCTGGAACAGAGCAGCTGACTGAGCGAGTCATTTTGATTAAGTTAATTTAGCCAGCTCCTCAGGAATAAAATGGCACTAACCCTGTTCATATAAACATTCTCTCAAAGCACCCAACAACCAATTCATTGCTGAAAATCTGCACACCTCACCACTCTGCATCTAAACATCATCCTAGTACATTCTGTCCTAAGAGCTGGAATGCTGAAGTTTTCCTGTGAAGTGCTTTGGGTCTCGCATACCTTTGGCCAGGCCTTGGGTATTGCAGACTGTTAGACACAAGCAGAGAACTAAGAGGAATTTGAGGAATTACAAAGAAATAAAATTTTCTAAGGGCAGACTTCTGAAGCATGGAATACAGAGAATGAATTAAAACTACAGCAACACCAATATTTGATAATTGAAATGTGCATGATTTTTTAAATGGCCTAACAGATTGAAGGGAATATTAATACGAGAAATATGTATGCTCTAAGATGTTAAGAACAGCTAGAAGATTGGTTCCTCTTAAGGAATATATCATACTTAAATTCAGATACTAAGCTATGAAGTAAAGTTTCACTGATCCTGCAAATGGGAACCTCAGCATGACTGTAAATTTAGTGCCAGAAAAAAATCTGTATCAGGGCAGAGCTGTGCTTGTACTGTCTAATCACAAACCTACAAACACGCCAAGTAGATGGATCTAATTTTGTCACTCTTTCTCTAGACAGATGAAATCTCACTTTGGTTTGCTTTTTTTACCCTAAGGTTATCTGACTCAGCCTTATCTTGAATTTTGTGATTAATCCTTACTGTTGCAATTCTTTATGCTTTTCATTTTTTTCTCTGAAAAACAGTAACCTTGTTTATCTCTTTTTCAGTTTATCTTAGAGTTTTAGCTTATGAAATGCATTTATAAGGCATGTTTTATTGTTATTACAGGAATTTGAAAGGTTACTAAAAAATCTATTATCATTGCCACGGCCCCTCTAGTCCGCTTTATACACCCTTTTGTGCTCTGTAAAAGACAAGCAGCATTCTAATGTGTTTACAGTTTTTAACACGATAAAGCGTGTCAATGAACAGAGATACTACCTACTATTAAGAAATCAACAGTACTTTTCCAACAACTAAATTTATAAAGCTATAGAAAGGAATCCCCATCAAAAAATGCCAATGGAGTCTCAGGCTCTCTCATACTACCTTATTTCAAGTATCTGTCTGTTTAGATAATATTGTGATTAAGGTTTATGACTGCTGCATGACCAGTGCCTGTGCCTGTGCTCATTTGGGTAGCTCTGGGACAGGTGACAGAGGCCACCCTTGCCACTAATGCCAATAGTCACACCTTTTGATGCCATCTGGAGGCTGGGAGCTAGATGCTTGCTGCAAGTTTGATTGCAAAGTGACCATTACTGCCTGTCAGTACTACACTTTCCATCGGCCAGCACCGTTAAGTAATTGTATGGCATGAGAAATAGGAATAAAGAACATCAGTAACTGAGGTAAAAATTCATTATGCAGAAGCAGGCCACTTAAGAAATCTGTTCAACACATTCTTTGAGCCTGTGCACATGCCACTAGACCTTTCTATTGGACAATCAATTTTTCTTTAATTGGACTCATTTTTCCTTATTTTACACAGTAGATAGAACTAGTACCACTTCAGGCTTATTTAATTATTTTTCCACTACAAAATAACATAGCTTAGAAATGCATTACTTACTTTATCTATTGTCTCAAAAATGTCTGCTGCAGCCCCACGACCAGTGGCAAAGGCTTCCAGACAGGGAGATGCCTGGCCAAGATTTAATGCTCCTACTAAAACACCAAAGAAAACCTGAAGAAGTGGAAAAAGAAATTAACAAAATACGACATCACATTTTTGTTATAATTTATAGTTTAGACATGCAAACCAAACTATAGTGGCTTGATGAATTCTCATGCAGCTGCTGAACTGCGGTGATTCACTATATGAGCATTATTAGCCAACAAGAAAGCAAACAAATGCATTTTAGAAGGTATTTTCACTATTTTTCACAACTTTTTTTGAGGCCGAAGCAAATTACTCTATCTTATATTTGCCCTGTCCTAACAAATCGTGCATCCAGGTATTCACTGACATGCCAGTGATGTATTTTTAAGCCATCTCAGTTTGATTGGGTGCCTGTTCCTTGAAACATGGACTGGAACTGAACATCGGTGGGAAGTAGATTATTTTGGGAATGTCTTTTACCAGTAAGCAAAAAGAGAAAGAAGCTTAAAACATTGTATTACAACGTTTGTATACTGCAGTTCCTGTCTCGTCCAATGCTCAAAAAACTTACTTCTGGAGGAGGTACCAGCTGCAAAGAAGACTTTTTTCTCTATCTCATGAAGAAATGAACTGTAGGGGTTGCTACCAACACTGAATAAGCCACATTCTGAGCTGAGATTATTCTATCAGTGCAGGTGGACAGTTTCTGCAGGTAGCACACACCCAATGTGCTCACTGTTTCAAGTCTTCTTCTAAGAACCAAAAGGAAGAGTTACTAATGACCCTCTTCTGAAAGCCCCAGGATCCCCTTTTTACCTAAGCCTAGGACAACATGAGAGAAAATGAGCCACAGCATCCACTCTTCCTGGAAAGACTGGCAGACAATAAAGGCAGCTGAACAGAGTATCAAGTATCAGAGGACACTTCAGTTCAAGAATTCACACAGCTTGTTGTCTGGCCTTGCAGATCAGAAGCAAGTGAAGCTGTAGCATATCAACCAAAATACCAAAAATGTTTGTTCAAAATTTCCTAAGAGCTGCCAATGCTTCATTTCCTACAAAGAAGTTTTTATCAAGGTTCTTAAATGTAGAAAGGAATTGTCTAAGACTGAAAATGCTGGCAATTCTGATATGAGAGAGGATCTTCAAAGAACAGGACACTGGAAGATAGTGAACATGAAAAGGTGAAGGCTTATTTACCACTTATACACCACATATGCAAATATATTCAATATGTTCCTACAACAAGGAGTGAACTGCACTGTATAGTAAGTATAGTTTATTTTTCCCAGTGCTACCATGTCAGGGCATGATTTTGAACAGTTTTTGAAATATTTTTTCCTAGAATTTACTCTGCTTTATTTCTTCTTAGTTTTTCAGTTACAGAGGTGGTTTGGCAGAACAGATTATAAATGTTTGGACAATGTCTTTGGTGCAGGCTTTTGGTCCATTTTCTTGCTTTGTTGTGGCTGATAGTTTGGACATTCACCCTGAACATTAGGAAATATGTAATGTAATGTATAATATGCAATCCTTTGCTCTAGTTTGACCTGGGAATTCTGCTAAGAAGCAATCAAGGACTCAGCTGGCCTTTAGGATGCAACACAAACGGTAGTCAGGATAAATGGGGCAAAGTGTATAAGGAAACACTACTGCTGAGAAAGAAATAGCAGTACACAGGACTCAGTTCTCCTGTTTACTGAGGATAACCCCATAGCTAAAGTGGAGGACTCTATTGTACACTGTGTACTGCAAATATCTACACTGGGATGTATAGATTACGCCATAAATTCATACTCAGCTTTACTACTAAGTAATTTTTTTGTGTGAATGAGTCCCAAAGCAAGCAGGTTTTATGCATGTCAGAGTCCATCATGAACATAAGGGAGCAGGTTCTGTACATCTGACAGAAGAGGAAAGGAAGGCAATGCTTAGTGTATCTGAATGCAGTATGGCTGGTGGACAACACTTTTTGAGAAATCAGGAAAAGCATATTTATATGTTTTGTATCTACAAATCCTTCCCTCCTGCACCCTATCAGACTAGGAGTGTATGGTAGAAAACATCAAATAGAAAAAAGATTGCTGGAAACTCAGAGGAAGGGGAGCAGAAGGGAGAGTCTCTCCATTGACAGCTACAATTTTTCAGCTACAGGGTAGCTCCCCACCGTTTGCCATTTGTCATTTGGGAGCACTGAACACCAGTTATCATGTGCAAGACAAGGAAATTGCTCACTTTGTTTTTCACAGCACTACCTCGTATCAACTACTCACGTCAAGAGCAGGTGCAAACAATTTCCTGTGAGGGACATCCTGCTTGAACAGAATTACTCAAGTTAACAATGTTTGCAGAGTAATTCGCCAAACTCTTAGCAGGAAGCTTTGCACTGCATGCTGCTGGTGGTTGAGAGCTGCACAAGAGGCAGAGAAGGAGTGAAAATAGATGTCTCATCGGAATACCCAGGACTTACCAAAGTTTGGGAAAAGTTTGCTCTGGGTTTAGACTAGAGTCTGCCATTTGGGCAGTCCTAGCTCAAAGCAAATAACTAAAATATCTGTGGATGTTGGTTTTGTTGCATTTAGGCCATCAGTGTCTAGAGCATCTGCTGTGCAGAAATGGATGCACAAGTGCCATGGTTTTTTACATACACTGCAGGAGCCACAGCCATGTGTGTTGTTATCCACATACATGTTTACATGTCCTTTGTAACAACAAAGCAACAGAAATTTTTTTTTCAAAGGAACAGAAAGTGTTCAAGAGAGAGAGGTTAGATTTGACAAAACTTTCTTTGCTTAGGTTTCTCTTTATCACAAAGGGGTTTTTATTACAAAGTTCTTCAGAGAAGCCATCATCCCAGAAGACACATGCTGACTCAGAAAATGGAAAAGCTAGTTTCAGGCCTCTGACAATTGTGTAGCGGGCTCTCAAATGAAAGCATTATTCTGATTACAATAGGTAGTATTTAAAATCTTTGAAATAAACATGGATTTTTTTTTAAATCTTATCCAATTGTGTCATATACTTTCATACGTATATTGAGTAATGATCTCTAGAAGACATACATAGTGTTTGTTACCACTGAGTCACCAGATACCAGAACACTACGAATACGTGTTTCAGAATTACTGTTTTAAAGAACAGTCCAGAAAAGTTGCATCAAGCTAAAATGGGTACCTGCAGAAGAGTGCCAGGTGAATACTCTTCTTCTTCAAGGACAAGTTTAGAACCATACCAAAAGGCTAATGCATAACTTAGGAAAATTATACACCACATATAACCAGTGAATAATCCCATTATTATTCCTTTTCGAATTCCCCAGTGCTGAGCAAACACCAGATTCTTATCATATCTGTAGAAAGAGAGAAAAACAAAAGGGAATTAAATCAATTTGACAGAAATTTCAAAATGAGCAAAGACCAACAAAATGAGGCATCTTTGGTGACAGCAGAGTGTACACATAAGGTTGATACAGAATCAGTCTGAAGTGAGATCACAGCTGAAACCAGCAATGCTCCCAAATCATGAAATCCTTCTATGTTCTAAGTGTAACAAGCACAAGAAAAGCCACACTCATTGCAGATACCTCACCAGGGGATTTGGAGCTGATTTGACAATTCAGCCAACACTTCAGAGCACATCCTACAGTCATGTTATGCTTTCACAGAATTTAAGAGAAATTCACAGTTTAACATCATCAAATCATGTCTTGCTGAAACTAGTTCTCTTACTTAGCTTGGAAGTACCTAAATTTTTCAGATGTGCTGTGAAAGTGATATATCAGGCAATGTTTAGGGGAAAATTTGACAGTATGTTCCTACAAGTAGGAATGAATTGAAGGGAGCATTGCTGAAGTTTTATTTCATGGATAAACTGAGTTATAAAACTAATCTTTCAAATGTTACTTGAAACCTAAATTTCTGAAACATAACATGCATATGCATCTCAAAGCTAACAGATAGCCATAGCTGTAGAATATAGAGAATATAATGGGCGTGAATCTGACATGCATTACAGCATTTCATTACTTCAGGAGAAAAACATCAGAGATCTTGCAGTTTGTTCAAACAAACCTTTCAACTTCTTTCTTCTCCCCACCAAAAGCAGCCACTGTTCTGATGGATGAGAGCACTTCATCAGCCACAGCTCCAGCTTTTGCATAAGCCTTTAATTCTCGTCCTGTTAGTTTTGCCACAGCCTACAAAAGCATGAGAAGTGCTGGTTACACCTGAACTGCAGGTACAGAGAAGGTCAGTGATAAGCAATGGTGGCTGTCACACTGTGCTGTCTGCTCTGCACAAGGTCACCTCCTGCACTCCAAGCAGGCTTTTATTAGGCACGCTGCACACTCGAACACTCGTGTCTTCTAGTACTAGGGCACATACCTTTGTAGCATAGGTTTTGCAACAGCTCTCTGCCCCAGGTAGCTAGAAAAAGCAGCTGGCAACACCTGCTTTCCCTCCCTGCCTCTCTCTCTGCTGCTAACTGTGCTTAAGCAGATTGCAGACTCAGGGTTTGTGCATAGGGGGAGGAAGGGGGAGCTTAAGTGGCCCTTCAGCCACTGTGGCAGACCCTAGCTTCAGAAAGAAGAGGTAACTGTAGTGATGGGGGAAGATGGAAACAGATGTTGCCCAAAACTGTGCTTTGTTTCTCGGGCTGACAGCAAGCAGGCTCCTGCACAGCAGCCCAGAGCACACTGGATGCCAAAAGCTTACTTAAACTCAAAAAAATGGATGAAAATGTAGTCATGTACAATTCTACACAAAGACACCACATTGGTTTGAGAATGAGATAACATTAGAAAGTGTAAAGTGTCATTATTTACTTTCCCTCTTCCAATACCCTACTCCATGCATCTATTAGCCACTTTTGGAGATAAGAAACCAGTCTAGATTAACCTTGGGTCTGTTTTCATCATGGTAAAAAGCAAAGACTTGGTCTGGAAAGGCTGGTAAGGAAGAAACACTTAACAGTAGGTCTGTGAAAGGAAAGAGATGGGTACAGAGAATTAACAGTGGAAAGGGGGAAAATTACAGACATAAAGGGGAATGAGCTCGGAAAGGTATTGCAAATGAAGGAAAAGCATTTGGTTTTTTTTTTTCATTCCCTGCCAGGATTCTGCTCTCCCACTTCACACTGAGTCATTATTCATGTCATCTACTTGCAGCCAGCACAAGACGCTAAAGGAGAGCTGGAAGACAAGACATTAGTCAAGGTTATATTAGAGGTTTGATAGAAAAATGATACAAGCTCTTCCTGAAGCGAAAGAAATTAGATTCCCAGAGGGCTGAGCCCAACAAGAATGCAAAGGAGGAGCAGGAACTATCCAGCCCTGATGGGTGTGGTAGAGGAGGTGAGAGGGCAGTTTCCCTTTTCCCTGTCCTTTTTCTGCACAGTAACAGGAAGTTTGTAGGAAGTGGATGGAGAAGCAGAACAGGAACAACAGGGAGAAGGTGCAGCAGCTTCCAGGAGCAAGGACAGCTTGAGGTAATTTTGAGCAGTTATTTTCAACTATTTTAGGTTTCTGAAACTTGATTGTTCTCAAAAGCTGCCAATTTACATAGAGAAATTAAGTCCCATGTCTTGTAACCATCTAAACCAGGTGTGCAGTAATAGAGAGAAGGTAAAGGCCAGGTTCTGATCTCAGCAATGATAATATCTATCCACAGGACCCACAAGAAGGTGTGCTTATACTCCCATCTTAGAAGCAGGATATGTCATTCTGGGAAAACAACAGTGGGAGCAAAGCCCACCTCCCCTCCACACACCCTTTCCTTCCCCTCCTGTCCAGTGCTGCTGTGACCATAATCTGCCTCTCTTGACTTTAAAGGGGTGTAATAGACTTTACCAATCCTCACAGCTCCATGGCATGATCTTCCCTGCCTATTATTCCTCAAAATGAACCTTTCCCAATTCACTTACCAAGCCATAGATAGCCGCTCCAAGCCCAAGCAAAGGGCTGACTGCAATGATAACCAAGGTCAATTTCCAGCCACTGACAAATCCCAGTAGGAATCCACACACAAAAGTGGTTATGCGCTGGATAAAGATTGCTGCTTGGTCAGCAATAGCCTCATTAATTTTGTTAACATCACTGGAAAAAAATGAAACAACAACAAAAATCAACAGACAATTGGGGAGCATACCTTTCGTTTGTGTTACAGGTCCTGGCTGCATTTGGCTTAGTTGCTTTTCCCTGGAGAAGGCCCTTCCTCATCCCTATTCTTTCACCATCAACCCTTACAAAGACCCTGGGCTACAGTGAGAAAGCCTTTGCAATGGCAGAAGGCTTTTAGACATGAATACTGCAGAGGTGATGGCATCCTTTCCCAAGAAAAGTTGCCCCAACAGCTGACTTATTCACTGGCTCTTACTACTGGCTGGCTCTTACTACTCTGCCCACGCTGATTCGAAGGACAGGGCAGAGACATCCCAGTTGGATGCAGCTGTCTGATAATGGAAAAACAGCATAGCTGATATAGCATTCCTCACATCATGGGGCACTGAGAATGTACCCTACCACCTTGCCAAGGGGACAGGAAAGGGGAAGAGGGTTCTAACTCTCTTCTAGTTACACCTTCCACCACCTCCCAGTTCCTCCCTCCATTCTCTAAGGTAGTTTATTCTCTAAATGAGAGAGTGGGAAAATCAAGGAGGGCTACTTTAACACTGGAGGCAGTGGGAAAACATGACAGTTCTATCACATGGAGGATAGTGGTGCAGCAGTTGGTATCATTCAACTCCTAGGCAGCTGCAGAGTTCATTTGTTCTCTCTTAGGCTTTGCCAACACAGAAAAAATGTATTCAAGCAAAACACTCTTGGCTACTACCTCATCTCTGAGATTAGAAGAACTAGGAACTCCTGGAATAAACAGTAGCTCAGTACTACTGAGATTTAAAGTGCAAAGTTGTAAGCTCATTGATACATCAAGTGAAATTACAGTCCTCTGTTGAAAAATGTAAGAGTGTTGAGTAGAAGAATCATGTTTGTATTTCTTCTGGCAAATGGTTTTGCAGTCAAGAAGCTTTCTGCAGGTCACAGGACAATGTTGTTCAAAACCAAGGGAACTGCGTTATTTATTAGACAAATACATGCTTAGTTCCTACTTTTTCCGAAGAGATTCTTCACAGCAACATAAGCTTGCCATTTATTCTTCATGAAAAGAACACCACAGAAAGTAATATATACCGGTGAGTAAAGGCAAATAAAATCCCCTTCAGCTACAGAAAAATCTTCTGCAAATGTGACTATTACGCAGGCACAACTGAGAAGAGCCATCTGCAGTCAGCATATCCACCCTGCCTGCAGCCTGTAAACAGGAACTACTAAGGAGCAAGCCTTAAACTCTGTTTTTTTCAGGGCTAAATGTTTACCCAGGATGAGATGGTTTCTCTAACTGCCTTGTGTCCATATCTAAAGGTAAGAGTTTGTATCTTCTTTAGCAGAAGATTAAGCAAGGCTCACTCTTTCCTTTTAAAATCCAACAAAAGCAAAGTCATGCCTCTAATGTGATTTTCCTTTCTGAGAAGTGAGAGAGGGTTCAGATCACTGTCTTCAGACTCAGGGAGTGTGCACTGACAGCCAAATTATAGATCATTCTGAAAGGACTGGGCACAGAAGGAGAAGGCAGGAGAAGACAAACAGGAAAAAAAAACCCTACCCCAAAACCCATCTAACCCCCCCCCCACATTTACTGACAGACAAGGCACAAAAGGGAAATAATTGTGGCTTAACAGTTATGGCACTCAGTTCAAAGACGGGGGAGATAATCCATCTGGTTGCTACTCCCAGGAACATAGCTGTATTTGTATTAAAAGTTGTTTGTCAAATGCCTGATTTTTGGCACTCTGTGGTGTTTGGAAGGAATTACAAAATGTTTTCTATAGCATACATTTTTTTTCTAGATTACTTACTCAGAAATTCGGGTGTTCAGTTCTCCTACAGATGTACAGTCAAACCAGCCTATATCCATTCGCATTATTTTCCTGAAATAAGCTTTCCTGATTTTCTGTATCTGACGAGCTGCAGACATAACCCAAAAGCAGATCTGGGAAAAGCATAAAGTGGTTGATAAAATGCAGTAAAAAGTCCTTTTACTCCCAACAAATGGGAAAATGCAATTTGGATAAAATGGGATAGAGCAATTTGGCTATTGATAAAATTACTATTCAGGTAAAATACATTCTGGCTACATAGACATGCTAGTTGTTTTGATCTTTAAATAATCCAGCAATTTTATATAGCCTGTGGATCAAGCATTTGTCACAGTTCTAGTAAGATGAGAGAAGAGGCAAGGTAAATTATTTATGCTGTTATGTGAATGTCATATGGACAAACTTTTTTCCATCTACAACTGCAAGTAGTACAGGGATGGCAGCCATCCTACCTCAGCAAAACTCTGGAATAGTTCTCAGGAAGGAGAATGACAAGTGATTTTTGTTATTATAAAAAGCTTCCAAAGCAGGGGACCCTATGCAGGAGTCGTCTGAGCTTGTGACTCATCTCAGTCATAAGGACTGAACCATTACTACAGAACACATAGGGTGTGATTCTTCTCCAACACCAGTTTTACACAAGTATTGCTCTGTAACATCTCTATTATAGAAACACAGGGCTCAGTACAGTTGAGATGCCTGCTTGGAATCTGCATGCCCTTCAGCTGCTGTTGTAGGAGGGTATGTGGATTCCATAGCAGCCACACTTGAGCAAGTATTGCTTGTGGTGTGGGTAAAACTTATCCTTTTGCAAAGGTATGCAAGCACTAATCCAAGGAGCTCTCAGACTGACAGAGCTAACATATTTCAGACGATAGAATGTGAACTGAAAGCATCTGTTCTGCTCAAATAGGTAGCTAGCAGTTAAAAGGAATATAATTAACATAAACTTCATTATTTAGTGATTTAAACTTTGAAATCAAAATAGAAAAAAGAATACTGACTTGGAGGTATCCTAACACGAGTATGGCACAACCAATTCCTGCATAGTATCCTGCAAATCTGGTCATTTCTTGTTCAATATCCAGCAGCCTGAAAAAAAAAGGGGGGAAAAAAAAGTTAGCAATACTGTTTTAAATTTGATTTCTAGTCTGGTGTGCCCTCAGGTTAGAGTCAGGTCAGCCAGCAAATCAACTTGTTTTGCTAACAGAGGCTATCCCTATCAGGGGCTGGATTCCTTGCTCTGCCTGTTGCACAGGGCCAGAGAGCTGGCAGGGACCAGAAAATGCTCTGCCATCCTGCAGTCTCTGGGAAACCCCCCAGACTGCATGCTCCAAAAGAGCACAGGTGAGCAGGGGTTTCAGAGAAAAACTGCAAAACAAGTTTTCATTAGATGTTGAATGTGCTTGCTTTGTGCCATTATACCAGCTAATAACACTCAGATTTCAACATGGGGAGAAATGAGGGCTGCTAAAGTCAATTCAAATATTACTTCAAATATAAGTTTCTAATCTGAAATGATTATTTGTTTTTGTTACTCAAGTAGGAGTGTTAAATTACTCATAATATCAGTGAAGGGCATTGAATTGCTGCTTTTGCATTTAGGCTATTCTTTTAGACAAATTTTTAAAAACATCCTGCAGACAGCAAATTCTACTCCATTTACCCAAAATTTCGCACACAGAACTTTTAAGCCAAAAGGGAACACTATGAATCTGACTTGATCTCTTGCAAAAAACAATCATGGAAGCAACTCAGCTGCCTGACACAGATATCCAGTACGATTTTTCATGTTTAATCAAGATCATGAAACAGATCCTCCTAGAAATTGTGCCAAGGCACATGATAAATAAGGAGGTGGCTGGTGACAGCCAACATGTCTTCACTAAGGGCAACTCCTGCCTGACAGATTTGGTGGCCTTCTATGATAGGGTTACAGCTTTGGTGGCTGAGGGAAGAGAGACTGACATCATCTACCCAGACTTGTGCAAAGCATTTGATGCTATCCCACATGACCCCCTTGTCTCTAAGCTGGAGAGAACGCAGATAGACCACTTGGTGGATGAGTAATTGGCTGGATGGTCACACTCAAAGAGCTGCAGTCAACAGCTCAATGTCAAAGTGGAGACCTGTGATGAGTGGCATTCCTTAGGGGTTGGTATTGGGACCAGGGCTGCTTCAGATCTTTGTCAGTGACATGGACAGTGGGATTGAGGGCACCTTCAGCAAGTTTCCTGGTGACACCAAGCTGTGGGGTGTGATGGACATACAGGAGGGAAGGGATGCCATCCAGATGGACCTTGACAGGCTTGAGAGGTGGGACCGTGGGAACCTCATGAAGTTCAACAAGGCCAAATGTGAGAGGGCAATCTCAAGCATAAATACACGTGGGGCTGGGGCTGGATTGAGAGCTGCTCTGTGGAGAAGGGCTTGGACAGACTGGAGCAAGTAATTTGGCCCCAGTCACCTCTATCTAGGTATGTGAATCACTTCCATGTGCTGTGAATTTCAAAGACCTTTAGAAAGTGACTTTTAATTCTAATTAAATATCTAATTAAGTGTGACTCAAAGATTAGAAAACTCTTGGAATGATGCACTGAAAAATGACTTTTAGGAGAGGTTACAGGGTCAAACTTGGCTTTGACAGATGTGTATCTGAATGAATCATCTAGACTCCATTTATTATAGTTCATGGAAAGAAACAGGCTGTCTTATATGGTGGTTCATCTGACCTGCCTCAGAAATCCACCATAAGCTAATGAATTGTGTTCTAGAAATGCTCATTTCTCTCAATGACAAGAGTCAACTAACTTGCTCAGAAGTCATCAGGCATTATAGGTCCTAACCTATAGTCCTAACCAGAATGACCAGAAGTCATTATAATCTATAGTGTAATCAGTAAAATAGATTAATGAATTCAGATATATAATATGTATATCTGTTATCAGAACAATCATAATCAAAGAATATTCTTGCTGACATCTGTAGCTGAAAGATCAAGACCCAAGCTGACCTTCTTTCCCTCTAGATAATATCTCCAGCTCAGTAATAGGGCTCTGTAATAAGAACCATGCCCCTTTTTTGCCTTATGAATAGAAAATGTAAGATTTAAAGGCTGAACAGGACCCTCAGTAGCAAGGCATTCTCTGACAAACTATAATAACAATGGAAAAGAAACAAATACATTCATTACTTACCCACATCTTACTGTGACATTCTTTTCATTCTGATGAATAGTACCATTAATCCACACTATGGTGTTATTTACACATGTCTTGTTTGGGTCTTTAAGCTCTTGCATTTCAATGTCATACTCAATAAATGTGTCTGCCATTGCACCAAACACAAGCAACACAGCTGGTTGGGCTATTCCATGAACAATAGCACAGAAACTACCAACGACCATCATTAAAATCTCGGTAGATGAAGCAAATCGAAACTAAAGAGAGAAGAAAAAATATGGTCTCTGCTGAGAGGCAGTCTTCATACTGCTTGTTTACTGATAAATCATTAATTAGGTGGATCAGATAAAAAAACATTCTCTTTAAACTTCAGAATTATCTTCAACACAAAAAGAAGACAAATCTCTCCAATCTAATCTAATCGCATCTGTGATTACAGCCTCATAAATTATTGAGCTCCATTTTAACATGTGAATGAATGTATTATCATGTAACATTAAGAGCTCAGTGTTGTTCCACATTACCATCATTGCAGAAATTAGCTAAGAGATTAAGAATAGTAACTATAATTCATAGAGGGAGAGGGAAGGGAGGAGAAAGCCTTGGAGCATTATGCAGAGCCTCCAAACAGAGTTAGAGTTTCTCAAAAGTCTGAGGTGCTTTGGTGAAAATTCAACTAAACATCCGAGAGCAAGTTCTCATAGTTAATATTCTAAAGCCTGTTGGCTGAGCCAGGCAGTTATGCATTGGCTTTTAATCTGGGAGAAATGTACAGAAATATGACATAGTATGCAGCAAAAAAAGAGACTGAGCTAAATCCTATTACCTTACATTTGCTATGGGCTAAGAGTGTGCCCACGTGTAGCTGGTCACTTGGCAAAGATACAGTGATTTAAGTTACCTTTTTCATGATTTTTTGAAGTTTGATTCTCTGGTTGAAGTCAGGCACAAATATATAGTTTAAACTGTCCATATAGAATATCAGTTTAAAATGCTGTACATTTTGAAATAGGAGAGTAAAGAGAAATCATAGCCTATTGAAGAACCTATCCAGGTTCTCTAGGTGCTACAATGTATCTAAGAGAAGAAAGGGTGGAAATTTGAAGCACATATGGAAAAGGGACCTTAGGGCAAAGACAAGATACAGTGAAAAGCAGTTAACACAAAAGAGAAATAAATAAAAGGTCTTTCAAAAAAAAAAAAAAAAAAACCACCAAAAAACCAAACCTGTAACACTACCACTGTTCTGCAAACCTTGCTCATAAGAAATCCAGGAATTCCCTTGTTTAAAAAAAACTCCACACAGAAAATGCACAGATATGTGGTATCTGGTCTCTCAGCACATCTGAGGCAAACATACTGTGTTAACCCACTGCACTTTAAATATCTCTGTAAAACTGCCTACGGCATTCAAACCTCTCTGCTTGAAAGAATAGCCTTCTCTGTGGACAGACTGTTCTCTCCACCCAACTAGAAGTTGAGATACTTAGCCAGGTACAGTACAATGAATGTAACTGCACTAGCCTAGTTTTACAGTCAGGACCATATTAGTCTGGACACATTACAGGCTAATTGCCCAGACTATGACCAAAACAGAAGTAATAAGACCTCTTAGCTGCATGCTGCAGCTGCAGGGTTGGACATCTCTTCACTACATTAAATTTAAAATATATGTGCACCCTATGGAATTACATCAAAGGCTAGACATACTATATGTTATTGTGCATCCACAAGTTTCTATAGCTACCAAATCTTCTAATACACATGGAGCAATTACAAGGGAGCTAAATTATCTGCCAAATATCACACAGTAAATTTTTGGCAGAAATAAGAATGAACCAAGGTCACCTAGATCTCTGTTTTGCATCTTACCTCATTTCCACGTATCTACCTGTAGATTTAATATAATGTTTTTAATAGGCAATTTTGACATAAACATCGATTATCAATACCAAACTGACAAGATGACAAAGGGTTCTATTAAATTCCCATTGAATTTATTGGCAGGATTTCAGGCAAAAAGATTTAATCCTTAAAAGTTTGGCTTAGTCACAGCTATTCCCCAAAACAACCATACTGGTTACTGTCCCTTATTCTGCAGCACAATACACATCAAATATTTATAGCCATTGCTTTCGTTACCAGCTGAAAGAAGCCAACACGAACACTGTTTTCTTTCTTCTTTGATGACCTTTCAGAACAGAAAACATAAAATTATTAACTTATATTTTAGAACATATTTTGTTCTATACGCAAATATAAAGAATTGAACTTAACTCACTTTTCACTTTTCTTCTCTATAAAAGGTTCTTCATATATATAGAAATTCCTGGCAAAAAGGATAAGATTTTACATTATTACTTTTAGTCTCTTGGTTACTTCTCTGAAATTACATTTTGTTGAGACATTTTCCCCAGGTTTATACTTTGTTTTATAAACAGTTCCTCAAAATACTGTTGCTTTAATGTGGGTTCTCTGAGGTCAGTGAGAGAAAAATCTACCATCCAAATTGTTGGCTAATCCTTTCTTTAAGAGAGACAAAAGTCCTGTATGTTCATATTGCCATAGTGCAATAGAATCTCTTATCCTATCATAGTTGGGTTGATTTTTTTCCTCGGTGCTCACATTTTGTATAATCAGTTAAATCAAAAGGACTGGTTGTACTGTTATGGATGGGATCCATACATAGCAAGTAGTCATCATCAGGTGTGTACATTCAGTGATGAATGAGTAGGGATATTCTATTTGTGGTGGGGTTGGGTTTTATTTGTTTCATTTGGTTTTATTTGGTTTTTAGTGAAACAAATTAATTCAAGCTATATTTGTCATAAACTGTTTTTAGAAACCAGATCCTGGAAAGCCTGAAGGAAGCTTTCCTTCAGGTATGTAAGACCATATGTGTGTTATGTGTAAAAGTCCAACAGAAGTTGGGTTTGAAGATAAGTGGGAACACACGGTAGACCTTGAATACTGGCTTGGTGCTCTCTTAGATGGGCAACCTGATAAAGACAAAAATTAAGAGCTGCTCTAGCTTCTACATTTTAGAAGTAGCTCTCAGACCATGTACGCTGTGTCAGAAAGAGCTGGCTCAAATTATAGCACCCATTGTCCAGCCTGCCACAGAGTTGTCCAAAGGTCTAGAAAAGAGCAGGGTCTTAATCCCATTTGGATCTCTGATTATAGCTGAAGGTCAAATTCTCTAAATCATTTCATATTTTAACTATCCAGAATTCTACATTTAAATCTTAATATCTGAGCTCAAATGAAGTGAGCAAATTTCTTTTGTTTTAAAACCTCACAGTTAAGCTTTAAGAGAAATTAATCAAGATTGATTAAAATTCCTGAAAAGCTTATTTCTCAAGCTAAAAGCACTGAAGAAAGATAAATTTGAATATCAAAAACACTTTCAAAAGGAACACCATATTTTGCTGGCGTTTTTGTTTCTAAAGGTTTCCAAGACTGCTTTGGTCTACCTGTTTCAGTTGTATCAAATAAGGCAGTTCAGCTGCAAGAGAACAGCTTTTTCAAAAAAAAAGTCATATATTTTGTCAGTGTGCCAATTTGATCCGATGACATTAACTTCTTTGAATATTCCTAGAAATATTGATTGTTCCGTTCGTGTACACGACTTACTCTGATTTCTTCAAGCTGTTACCTGTAAGGGAAAAATAAATGCACAGTCTAGTTAATAATTATTGTTAAAGTACATAATCTTCTGTAGACATGTGAAATACAAACCCTAGAACCCCATGGGACCTGATCATTCCTAGGTTATAAACATCATATTCCCACTAATACATATAGAAACCAGGGATATGGTTTACACTAAATACATTATTCAGGACATTTGTCAAAACTTAACTCCTTTTCATTGCAAACTGTTTGCTAATATTCAACTGGTTCTCTTGGGAATGGTCTCATCAAGGAATACTACTCTAATGTCACTCCATGCATGCTTCCTGAAAGCAAGATTGGTAGCTCTTCAGTCTTGCCTTCTAACAACTTAGAGACTGCAAATCCTGTGTAAGAGGGGCAGTTGTGGCCCTGGAGGGTACGATGAACCTGTTACACTGATGTCTACTCTTGGGGCATTGTCTAGGGAACCACAGCTTAGAGAAATGGAATTATACTGCAAGACATAATTATGCTGTAGAGCAACTCCTTGGTCCCCAGAAAAGGTCTGGATTTAGCTTCCTTTCAAAAGATGTTGTGAAAGACATCATACCTGAAGTACAGCTTGTGTTGTCAGGGGCCCTAAAAAATGTCATCATAAGGTCTGATGTAGAAAAGATTTACTGTACATCACTTGAGATGACAATGAATAAAGAGCTAGTTTTATATCTACATCACAATTTGGATAATCTAAGGGCACTTTAGCATATGTACTTTGTTAATTTATGATGCATTTGCCAGCTCAGCATCAGGTTCAGAACCATGGTTTGCTTTTCAAGCACTGCTTTCCTTTCTTCACATCTAGTGACACATCACTGAGCATGTACAGGTCCGTCTCACAGAGTAAACACCAAGCAACTTTGCTTCACAATTCACAGAGGGTGCAAAGAAAGTCACTGCAACCCAACCACAAATTTTGCCTCTATGATTTTTCTACCTAGGGAAAGAAGGTTTTTCCATTACCTCCAGGGTTTTGCATTTGCCAAGAACACAATGTTAGATGGAAACAGTCTGAGTTTGTAACTGAGGGAATAGCTGATTACATCTCCTTTTTGGGGTTAATAAGACAACTTTATGTTGCTTAACAAGCAGTCTATTGGTTTTATTCTGCTCCCTTTGTCACTTGGAAATGGTAACAAAAAAACTAAGAAATCGGAGGCAAACTCACTTGATAGGGCAAAAAAACACCCCAATTGTAAAAAGAGGAATAGTTATGGTCCCAGTAGAAAGTCTTTTGTCAAAATCTCACAAGTAACAGCAACAAGTATGTAAAATAAACAAGCAGACAAAAAACCAACTCTACAAACCAGCAAGATAAATCTAAGCAAACTGGGAGTTCAAAGTAAGTGGCCGGAAGAGATGAACAGTTTTCTGTCCCAGAAGCAGCATATATCCCCTCAACCTATTCACTCCCTTTTCCTCATCGTTCCTGCCCACCTCGACACCCATATTGGAATCCACATTGCCCCTTGCATTGAAACTGCTGCTAGTTAGCAGCCTAAGTGAGAGGGTTTAAAAACAAAACACAGCAGGTGAGGTGAGTGGGGAGATCTGCAGTGCTACAAGCACACAGACAGCTGCTCATTCCAGTAAGGTGCAGAGCAGTGTGCTGGGGTATCAATATACACTGGGGAGAGAACACAATATTTCAGAAAACATTCACATTGGGTCTTTTTACAATCATGAAGCTGACGTTGCTGCTGCTATGTTGGAGACTTCAAAATGAGCTGCAGAATCTAACATGCCAGAAAGATATTTGATGAGGATTGTTAAAAACCAAAGAAATTATCTGGCTAACACAGAGTGACAGAAGCTGGGAACATAACACCTTCTGCACATGAAACTCTTGTTCAGTTTCTAATGTCATAGCAAAAAACTGCACATGTAGTGTCTTCTAATGGAACAGCTGCTTTTATGTTTGCAGGTATAACTCAATCTCTACAAAGATAACCACAATCAAGGCTTAGTCTAAGCTCAGACTGAATACTCTAAATGTATTCAGACTCTACTGTTACACCCACAGCAGTCCTATGAGACATCCTATTACTGATAAAAATTGGAAGGAAATCCCAAACCCAAGCAATGAATGATAATAGATTTGAAATACAGACTTCAGCTATGAAGTTTTCAAAATAGCAACAGACACCGCAGATCAAGTTATAACTGGGACACTGCTGTTATACAGGAGAAAGAGAGGCTTGAAGAGGGCCCTCTTATTAAAAATCAGCCATAGGGTCTTGTAAAAGTATCTTATTTTGTGAAATTTCATTATCTACTTGGTTATGTGAAGAATTATGCTGTGTGCTGCAAGTTTTAACAAAAGGCAGCTGTATGGTTCCCAAGGAATGAAAAACGCTGAGGCTGGACTGTCTTAAACCTGAACTGTTGTCTAGGAAGGGGAAAAAAATCACTTTATCTCATTCTAGTATGATTTGCTTTGTTTTATTTTTGTTGGTGAAAAATAGTTCCAGCAGAGAGGCACTGTCTTTCAACATGAGTCTTCAGTTTCCTGGAGGTGATCTGTCATAAAGTATTTCAAGGGAAATAAAACTGCATGCTCTCTATTACTATCCAGCTTGATTGTTCTAACAACACATCTGAATATTTAAAAGATAACCCAAGCTAAGAAAGCATCCCTCCTCCCCAAGCTGTTTTGTTCAGAGCTGACTCAAGAACACTTATTTTGATGACGAAGCAGGTGAAATTGGGGTTGATTGTGACATTTGTAAATCCCAGTAAGGCCCTCCTTTAGAACACAAGCTATTTCATGCATGGTTTTAAGCTTTTCACTCACATATGTTTTTAATGAAAGTTTAAACACTTCCAGGACTAGGCTGCAGCTGTCATACATACAAAATGCATATATGCTTAGGGAATCTGGTGATATTTGAGTACTGGAATGCTTTTGAGAACACTTTTTACTCTATGTGAGGAGCAAGTACATTGCCATTCATTGCAATTTATCTTTCACTGTGGGCTACTGTTTTGTTTTCCTTTGAACTTTACAATCTGTATAAATATTTAACACTCTCTTTTTTGATGGCTTTTCTCAAGTCATATAAACAGAGCTGAAAATATTTAGCAGTTTCTCTTCATGTTTCTCCTTGACTCACGCTGCATTTAGACTGGTAAAATGGACATTGCAAAGGAAAAATGGAAAACTGGAGGACAAGCTCTGATGAAAAAAAGGAATGCAGATCTTCACTTACCATTAGTTTATAAGAATTATGCCTATTATAAGTATGACTACAAATAAAAGTGTTTGCTGAAAGAAACTATGGAAGACAGCACCTTTTTCTTTTTCACAGTAAAAGTCTTTTACTTGTACACCAAAGAGCTGAGCATAAAAACTGATGTAGATACCTTGAAATTGTTAGCTGATATGTAAATATTGTCCATGAGTAGGGATTTTTATACATAGTTTTTTACAGAAAAGTTGTTTTGCAGGCAGCATACCCATAACAGCAGATACCACATAACTCTATATTTATTCCACAGACAGTTTTCTTTGTATTCTGTAGACTATTTGCTTCACTTAGGTCACCCACCATCTATTTCACATGCTTTATAAAATAAGGAGGTGACTGAAGAATAAACTTCTTACATTTACCATCCAAGTCGAAAGCATAGTTATCCTCTCCCAATCTCTTGATGCTACGCAGAACAACTGGGTCAGACATGATGATTATTTACTTCAATCAGAAGCCCTGAAAAGAGATGGTGGGAGGGAGAGGAAGAATATCAGCATACATTTGTCTGCAAACATAAAACAATATTATGTTAAAGTTCTACTTACCTCAGTTTTGCCCTCATGATCTCAGGACAATGTCTGGGATTACAGCACTGATTACAGCACAAGTTATAACAGAACAGCTGTGACAGACTCAGTGAAACTACAGAGCAGAAAAACACCTCAGAGAAGAGGGCTCAACTCACCCCAGAGTGCAAAGCCTCTGACAGGCTTCAGTGCCTCCTGCCTTGAGCAGAGCTGTTCCTGGGGCTTGTCAGCCACTGCAAAGAGCCCTGTCCCCATTAATGGCTCTGTTAAATAAACTACTGCCTTTGTGTGGGTGACATCTGTAGGCAATAGAGTGAGATATTAACATGACAGGTCCTGCCTCACTTATAAGGGAGCAGCAGGCAGGAGACCTCCCCTGCCTTGTGCTGTCCCAGGTGTCAGCAGCCAGCAGGACCATGACAGGGGACAGCTGGGGACAAGGGTGGCTGGGGGGAGGCCCCAGAGCCACACTGACACCTGCATCCTCACCACCACAGCAGCACTCCCACAGCTCTTGGCTACCAGACCTGCTCCTCTGGACAGTTTTATTCCTAACTATTCACACTGACATGCTGAATAGATGTCATACATGAGAAGAAATAAGAAGACGAAGTTAGTACTTTTTTGTTAAAGAAGCACTTCTGTGAGGCAAAATCTGCCAGTAGTTAGGCCTGGCATCCAAGATGGCGCCCAGGGAAAAGCGCTGCAGAAGCCCTCCCCAAAACATGCCCTTTCACAACCAAAGTCATCTCATCCACATCTTTGTTTAACGTAATGTGTCCCAAAACATAGTTACAATATCTTCTTCCAGTTTTCAAACATCAACATTTGCATGATTATACTTCTGTATAAACCTCTCACAACCTCTCATTTCAGGCATATTGCAATGCGTTCGGATAGCAAAACTTCTGTGTAAAAGACGCATTTCCATAGATTACTTGTGTTACACCACCTGACTTCCCAGCCAGCTGAGTTTCTACCTATTGAGCCCTCTAAAGGAACCACTTATTTCCTTTTAATAGCATTAAAACTACCAAAATCCTTCATATTGGCAATAGCTGTGTGATTAGCTACAGCCAGGCAGTTCCTTATAAGTGGGAAGGATTGAGAAGCAGATTGGCTTTGAAATTACCCAAGGATGAAGGAAATAAATTCATTTTTAGATCAAAGTGGAGCAACATAAGGATCTAGTCCAGTGGTTCAGGGTGCATATGTAACTTTTAATAATTTCACTTCCCATAATCGCCCAACCTTTCCTTTTTTATTCTTTTCTCTCCAATTTGGTTTTCAAGAACCGCTGACTCCCAACTCCAACTCTTTTTACCCTTTTCCTTTGAATTTTATGTGTACATCCCTTGGCACATCACTAATACATCACTAAGTCACACTGGAAAGACCAAACTCTCTGGAATAATTCTAAGCATCTAATGCAAAATTCAATTATTCTAACTAATCTTAACTAACTTTAATGATCGAAGATGTCTGAAGCACTCCCCTGACAATTAGTGCTTCAGTATCCTTCTTGCTAACATATTTTTTTCCTAATGTATAATCTGAATATCTTACTTCTTGTGCACCAGGGAGATGAAACATAATATTCCTTTTCACTTTGTAAGTAGGCTGTATTTATTTTAATAATACTAGAAAGTCACCCTCTTCAGATAAAGAAAGCAAGTCATTCAATTTCCCTTGGTAGGGTATATTTCTTAAACATCTGATAATTTCCACTGGTCTCCTCTGGATTCTAGTACATCTTTAATGGAGTGATGAGTGCATAAGAGCACTACAGCACCAGTCTTACCAATATTGGACAAAGATTATTTCCCATGTAATGGATTATGTTCCTGTTCACACAACCCAGTATGACATTTGGGTTTTTAACAAAACTATCACATTGTTGATTCGCATTCATGTAGTCCTCCATAGACACTAAATTTTTGCAAACGATTTGCTACAGTCAGTTGCTTTCCAAACTAGGTTTTCACATTTGATTAATCCTGCCTGATATTGCTCATATTTAATTGCACCTTACATCCTTCAGCCCATTTTACCTGTTTATTAAGGGGATTTTGACTTCTAGTGCCATTCTTCAGGAATATATGCAGAACATACATGAAAAGTCATGACAGAACAGTCATGATTGAATTTAACAAGCATATTCTCCATTGTGTAATCCACATTATTATCAATATTACTGGATTATACCATTAAAAATGCAGACCTCTGCAGAACTTCATTTAGCACACCCATTCATTTGGACACTGGTTCATTGATCACTACTCTATGGGTGTAGTTTTTCTTGTCTAAAAGTTTCGGAAGAGACAATCTACTCATCTGCTTGTCAGTAAATTCTGACCCCCTCACATTTTGTGACTCCCTAAATTGTGACCCAAATTCTCTTCTTAAGTAAATTTGTAAAGCCAAAGAACTACTGCAATAGCAAAATGTCTGGCCAGGACTAAAATAGTTGCTTAGAACATAAAATCACAGAAGCTTTTAATTAATCCCCACATACAAATGAAAAATTTACAATTTTAGTCATAATTTCTCCATTCTCTGAGACAGATGGCAAATGAGCTGAACAAGTTATGGTACTTCCTAAGTTGCAGTCTCTACCATGTGCAAATTTCCAAGTTCTCTTTCTGCTTCTGACCAGAAATAAAGGAAAACATCATCAACATATCACTGCTTCACATGGGATCTTATACAATTCATTAAATTTCACTTCAGCTGAGTTTGTATCAAACATATGGAAGAATGGCTTAATTTCCAGATTACATTATTCAGTTTATATTGAAATAAAGGTAGGTTTCCCAAAAGAGCAAGTATACTCTCCTGAGAGTTTCAAGTCCCTTGAGATTATGTTTTCACTGGAGAGTGATAATTTTTTCCAAGTGGCAGAAGAATTTTCACTCACTTTTTTAGTAAAAACACAGAATTTATTCTCCTCCCTTCTGCCTTTTGCTGTGTTGGATTAATTGAAATAGTTTCAAACAGAAGCTCCCCGAAACCTGTTCAAATCACCCTAAAGTTCTAGAATTTTCTTAAGAAAAAGTTTCTCAGCCAGCTCATTTTTGGTAATTTTGTCAAAATGATCACATTCTCAAAAGAATTTATTTTTACATGTCAATTCAGTTGTGTGGTTGAAGCTGGAGATCTGAAAACAAAGCCTTTTTTTTCTGTTTACAGGGAAGTTTGACAGTGGTAGTACAGACAGGGAAGCCTTTCACAGTGATGTGATTTTAAGGAAAATGCAACTTAAATATGCAATTGCCCTAAGGTTAGCCAGGTTTTTTTTACTTTAAGTATATGTTTTTATGAAGGACACAGTTAAAGAAAACACGAATTAATAGATTGCTCAGAAAGCCATTAGTGTATGAAAAATATGCAAATCACAATATTTGTATCTTTGTTAAAGCTTTTCAAATTTTTTGATCAAGTAGTTAAGCATTATTTGCTGAATTAATAATACCCAGCAGATACCAACTGCAACCATATTCTCATATTTTCTACTGCAACAAAATAGTTTGTCACAACGGTAATTTTAGTAGCAATTTGTTATTAAACGTGAAGGCATCATTTGCAGCTCTATCTAGTACTGACTGCTTCACACTGCTTAGCACCCAAGTGATGTTACTGTAGTAGCTGAGCTACTACACAAACTGCTGACTTTGCACTGAAATTAGTATAATGGGAAATGTCACCTGGATTTTGAATACGTGTTCTTCTGGAGTAAAGAAGCAATGTTCCTACCTGTTCTGCTATCAAAAGAAATCCAAACTCTAAGGGTGGTATTTACAAACACTTTTCAGAGCTTTAAAATACTTCATGACTCACAGAAGTATAAATCTACTTAAATTAAATGATATAAACCACTTGAACCATCCTACTGAGTGTGGATCCCAGTGAAAAGCCATGAAGTGGTTAAAAAGCCACCTCACTACAGTTCTGCTTCAGAAAGATAATGTCATACTATAAAGCGATGAAGGCTCAAAAGTAAAGCAAAGCAAAGTCACTCTCTGCCTGTCCTTTTCCAGCTACTTGTTTTTTGACTCTGCTACTATTATTCTACTCTGTATTTTAACACTATGAAATGTATTTTGCAACTGATTTTTTAAGCCCAAATGCTGACATAGTTTTAAACAGGAATAGTGGGGAAAAAACCCAATAATTGATAGACTTGAAAAAGAATTCTAGTTATAAAGACTTGCTAGAGCTAAATTTTCTGGAATTATGTCACTTTTCCAATAAAATTATGACTGTCCCACATTTTTGAAAGGAAACATATTTTTCCTATTTTTACTAAAGCTCAACACATCAAATACTATCCTCTCTGGTAGGCATCATTAATTAGCTTACTGAAACAGATTAGTATAGCAGATAAGGATACTGTATTAAATTATTAAAATAACCTTCCTCAGTGTCTGAATGTTTAACTGGGGATCACTTAGAACATATTGAAAAATACTGTTGCTGATGTCTGCATTTAAAATGATAGTATAAGGCATTAGATTATTTTATCTACCTATGTGTGTGCAAAATACAACCTAGGAGCAGAGAATACCTCAGAAACTGCACTGAAGTGAAATAGCATCTTAACCTAGCCCAATACAGTTTGGCTGCTGGATTTTTGATAAACAAAAATCTTCCAGGAACTCAAAATCTAGATTTAAATAAGTAATACTTAAAAAATGTTAACAAAGGAATATATCCTGTGAATGAAGCAACATTAGGACCTCATCCAAAGCCCACTACAATCTATTTCAAATAATCTCTTTATTCAGATTAAGATCTTTATTTAATATAAAGGGGAAGAAGGGAGAGAGAGAAAAACAGTGAAAATTGGCCCTCCCTGCAAGCACTGTTCTTCATGTTTCTTTAAACCTAGGTTCCTCAGATATAAATAATAGCATATAAGCAGAAAGACGTTTTGCTTCAAAATAAAACTTGAATGTCTTGTTCTTCAAACAGTTCTATTAAAACAAAACCTCCAAAACTAAAAAAAACAAACAAAACAAACAAACAAACAAACAAACAAACCAACCAAAACAAAAAAAACCACAAACCAAAAAAACCCACTAACTTGCAAAGAGAATGCAGCATTTAGCTTAAATTGTCCCAAAAATAAAAAATACATGTACTTTTCAGTTCAGGAAGTTTCATCAGTCAACTCTGAAATATTAATAGATTTGTTACTCACCCGTGTCTGTGAAAAATCATAAAATCACAGACAAATTGCAAGGACCCTGCTCAGTCAGTGAAGCTCCCAACCATTTCCCAGCATATTTTCATTATTCTAACCCATTTGTCAGAACTGAATTTTTAAATTGGGCATTGGCTATTTGCACCTGGGTCAATAACCACACGGTCACAATGTTCACAGTTCATTGACATCCAATGGAGTGTTTAAATTTGACTAATGCAATCTCACAACATAAAGTCAGGGCACTTGGAAAGCAATTATACTTGAGGAGACCAGACATTCTCTGGAAAACAACTCACAATGAATTATTATAGCATTATTTTATCAGCATTAGTATCAAATTACTTTATTTGCCAGGCAATAATTTTGTACACTATTATCCCTACTATAAATAACAACACCAGCTGAATAACACAACAATTGGTTCAGAAATTAAGCCAAATTCACATTAAAAACTTACTCAAAAGCTTTGTTTTCTAACCCACAG